TGACTTTTATTACCCAACACAAAACATTTCATGAAATACAAAAGCATGAAAAATTCATTCACTACGTAACAATAGATGTGGTTGAGATGCACGGTGTATAACCTTGGAAGTGGGGACAAAGAGCACAGAAATAGCTGGCTGCTTCCTTCTGAGCAAGTGTACATATGCGTGTGCTCCAGAGGGCGACCTGTGAAAGGCAGCACTTACTTAATCACAGCAGCGTATACACAGTTTCATTTTCCACACATGAATTATTGACTTGTATAATGTTCTGTATGTTCAGTAGCACTGAATCACCAAATTTGCCATTTATTCATTGAAAGCCCTGTGCTGTAATGGCACCGTTACTCCCATTGCAAATTAAAAGTACACATTGCGTATTCCAAATGCATATGGCATTTGGTAACTAGGGAGATAGATGAAATGGACAGTGATTTACCAGGCAATGTTGTCCCTATTTCGTACATACAAGATGCCATTTTCAGTGGTAATGAATAATTCGGAAAGCTCATTGAGAGGAAACACCAGATGGTTTAGAGCTCATTAGGCTCTTTGTGTTTACTTTAAGCTGAGGCGATATTTGAAAAATGCGGCTTTAACCTTTCCTAAGTAGAGTCTTGGCAGGGTTTAATTGGTTTACGTTCTTGCTTTGATATTACATTGTGCACTTAGGGCTAGATGTACACGCACATTTGTTTGGTTCAGTGTTCACTTAGGTTTCATGACATTTTTTTTTTTTAATTGGTGAAGGAAGCAACTGTTCCATACCAGTTGAAAAAACAAAAACAAAACAATGGCAAGAATGCCCTCGAGATATGGGTACTGCTGTTCACTCGCGTGCTCCTTCTGCACAGTTCATGACATGACACGTACACTGTGAAACCCTCTGATGATGCTTGAATTTCAGGCTTAATACAAGGTCATACACCAGAGTCTTGGAGGATTATTATTTTTTTTTTTTTTCATCAGAAAGGACCATTTGGTGCCTATGTCAAGGAATGGAAGCTAGTTGTTCTTGGTCTTCGTGACGTTCACTTGGAGTTATATAGATATTTTAGATACATCGTATTGGATTGAACACATTTATGTTTTTCTTAATAAATACATATTTCTTATTGGCCTCTTGAAATAAAAGTCATAGATGTGGGGAACAACTAAATAAATTCTCACCAAAGAAATACTAACCAAAACAAATTAGTTCATGAATCGTGTTTAATAAACTGCGGCCTTGTAGCAAATTAATTAACAAGAGGTTCTTGTAATTTAAAGTCAGGTGTGAAACCCAGCCATCTCATGTGCGATTGACATGTCAATGTTTGACATTTTATTCTAAGTGGTCTAAGTATCTGCACATCGGTTCATGAATGTGGGAATGTAGCCCTGGTGTAAAAGTGGCTTGAGTGCCTATAGTGGAACTAGAAAAGCATTATACAAGATCAGTTTATTATTATGTCCTTTTACCTTTAATTCTTAGCAGAAATCTGAAACCAATGGTTGGTTAGGTTTGAGCTAAATGTATCCTGGGTCCTTTATCATTTCTTTACTTATTTGATTTCTGCCTTTACCAGGCTCTGAAAAACAACCCCACAACATGAATGTGTTTCTACTCCCAAACTCTGAAGTGTTTAATTTTGCTCTATACTTAACAGCAAATTTTGCGCAAGCGTTTGCTCGCTTTCTCTTCGGCAGTGGAGTGGAGTCTTGTGCTGTGGATATGCATAGACCCTATTGCAGTTCACCGTATTGCGTTGAAATGTCTTGTGAAAGCTTCTTTTGCAGTACGTTGGTAATGGGAAATCTTTTTTACATGCTATTAGTTAGGACTAAATAAGCAGACGTCATTTGTTTTTGGTTTTATGGTAATTTTGCACCTACCTTTGTTAATGATTGCAATATTCTTTGTTTCATTCTACTTCATAAGCTGATTTGTTCATGAATTTGTATGAATTTTTTTGCATGTGTGGATTACTTGAGTGAAACAAACACCTAAAATTGTTACTTTTCTCTCTGTTAATTTGATGTTTAAACAAAACAAGAAATACAGAGAGATTTATGAAGATTTGATGCATTTTTTTTCCCTAATGCTCACTTCCCATCAAATCAATTATCAAAATCTCATTTGAATCCCGGCATTGAGCCTGGCAAAGGCGAGGGGGGAAAAAAAATCCCAGTGTAATAACTGAGATCATTTTCATTCTGCAAAGCATCCTCTCTGATGTCTACAGTGTGAACAAGTCAATTTGAGCCCCTCCCTTTCAGGTCAAAGAATCAGAAAACTACAGCATAATTAGAGTGGCTGAAGTTCACATCTCTTCCTCACACTGTTCAGGAGTACTAATGGACTTTGTACTCAATTGCTCTTCTCCTGTGGCTATTGTTGACATATTAGATTATTATGCTGTGAAGTTTAATGTGTTTATCGCATCTTTGATATCATTTTGGAAACACAGCTGAGAATGAAGCACAGCAGGTGGGCCTTTCTGGGATATATCAAACATGCCCCTGCAGAGACTGACTTCAGCGTTCCGTCAGAATTCCGAATGTGGTGCCGAAATCAATTTCAGAGCGATGACGAGAAAAGGAAAACAACCAATCAAAAAAAAAAAAAAAAAATCTAATTATCCCTCCTGAAATGTATGCTTTACTCTCTAAATGTGCTGAGTTTTTTTCCCCCAATATGTATGCATTCTGTGTGGTTGAACGTCAACATATGTTTTCCCATGAACAACATGCTTTGGACATGATGGAATATTGTGGAAACAAATGGAACGAGGCTCTATATGCAATCGCAGAGGGAAAAAATTTAACTTGCCACCACACACATATTGAATTTGTGTCTCACACTCACATATACACGCAGATCCTCTTTAAGTGCCCTAATCCCCTTTGTGAATCTGTCAGCCTTGTTGTTACAAATACAATAGGATTATTCACGTGTGTGTGTGTGCACGGTGTGTACATATCAAAGACAGAGACTGACTGTGGGAGTGTGATTGGTTTGTTTATGAGTGTGCGCGCGCTGCTATCATGAAGCACGAGTGTGTGTGAAGAGAGGGAGAAGGAGTCGCTCTACAGGAATGCTCCAACTCTAAGCCTGTTTTCTCTCTGAAGCAATTTGTTCTCCATTCTTACGCTACGAGAGTGTGTTTGTGTGTGTGTGTCGTTGTGTGTGAATGTGCGAGGGCCGTCTGTGATTGGTTGAGTCTGCGGGTCTCATAAAGACGATGTCATGATGGAAATTAATGCAATACATCACAAACATGCACACCAGCTCACACACACACACACACACACACACACACACACACACACACACACACACACACACACACACACACACACACACACAGTACATATACTAAAGGGAAACACACACAGAGCACAAAGCCTTGTTCCTGCCATGGGCCACTTCTGTAAATAATACTGAAAGCGGGAGAGGAACAGAGGAGAATAAAGGAGTAGAAGACGTAGGGAAATAGAAATTATATGTTCAGAAATCTGACACACAACACTCTAATCAGTGGCAAGTAGAATTTCTATAGAAGAGACTTACTTGTAACTGGAACATCGATATTAATGTAAAATGTCATTAAGAAAAATGGAACCAACTTTTGGCAGATCAGTTTCCTGCAGACAGGTGAACCTCCTCCCCAGTTTCAAGTAATTTGTAGCCACAGATTTTCTTTGACGGTTTGCCCTCCATTTAGCTCCATCCGTCATCCCATCAACTCTGACCGGCTTCCCTTATGCTGCTGGAGGAAAGCCTTCGTCAGAGCAGGAGAGTTCCTCCACAGCGTTCCACTACTGCTACAAGTACAATACTGTATTCCATTGGGATTTCCTGACACAGACCAACACAAAATTCTGCATAACTATGAAACATTTGGAAATGGAAATAATAATAATTATAATAATAATAATAAAAAAAACTATTTATTCACAAATATAAAGGTGAAAAGGCTCGCCACTTCAAAAAGCTAGATGGCAGCTAGTTTGTTTTCCTTAAGATAGACACACAATGATTTGCTCATGCATTTCAGTGCAAATTTGTAATATTTTTATTGCCTTCAAGCAGATCTTGACCACCTGATATTTCAGCTTCAATGTGAGCATGCAGGAGAAATTTTGTGCATGTACAGTAGGTTGCTGCAGCAGTTTATCTGCCATTCCCAGCTGTCTCTGGCAAAGGTCTGCAAAAGAACCAGGTAAAAATGAGGACAGGGGTTGGAAATGATCAGCAACTCAATCACTGCAGCTCTGCACAAAATTAATTCACCAATCATCCACTGACCAGAGTTAGTCGGTTTATACTACTGCTCTGAAAAAATAAATCCACTTTGCTTAAATATTTGTGTAGCACCTCAAACATCTGCAGCACATTATTTTAATAGCTCCTTTTTAAAAGGCAGTTTAGTTCCTTCACTTCTTGATATGATAGCAGATTAAATAGGCAGCTGAGAAAGTTTTGCAAATTCTGTTATCCTTGAAAGATGCCTGTCTATAACAAAAGGAGAATAGTCAGAGAGTTCTTGCCAATTATTTCATAAAAAGCTCCTTGTTGGCTTGTGTTAAGGTGGTAAAATGTTTTATGCACATTTATAACAGCCTATAGTTACAATAGCTAATCATCTCCATATAATCCAATCTAATTTTCTTTAATGAGATTCGGGTTGTTCAGAAAACCTTCTGGCACATTCCAGACTGACCAAACGAAAACGATCATCTACTGGTCTTGTGGTGTGTGACTTCAAAGCAACTCTAAAAGAAAATGTGTTTATCATTTTGAATTTGGAATCTTTTTAGCAGTTAATGCTACAAATGTGGGCAACATTTAAGCTTGCTTTGTACAATTCTAACTGCACACATCTCTTTATCGAAATAATTTTTAAAAAGTTGCTCTCTGGTTCTGATAAGGTTCCTTGTCCGAAATGGTCCTTTAATTCAGGCCTCTGAGATTCGTGCAGATGTTAATGTCTTTTATTGAATCTGTGTCATTCCAGAAATAGACAAAGAGAGTTGCGGTGACCCTGGGACGCCTCTCTACGGAGTAAGAGAGGGCGACAGCTTCTCCAACGGGGGAATCCTGAGGTTCGAGTGCCAGTTTGGCTTCGAGCTGATCGGAGAAAAAACCATCTCCTGCCAAGATAACAACCAGTGGTCTGCGAACATACCCATATGTATATGTAAGCATTAAAATTAGATGGAAATAATTCATGACATCTGGGCTGGCATGTTCTTGATAGCTTTCCCTCTGACCTGTCACCATGGTGACAAGACAGAGATTATTATGGCCTAGGGCAGATGATGACCGATGACGCTCGGAAGATGAATATTTAACAGAAATTATGCGCGTGTGTGTGTTTTCCCTCTTCCTCCTGCAGTCCCCTGCATGTCCAACTTCACAGCTCCCTCAGGAACAGTCCTCTCCCCAGATTACCCAGAAGGCTACGGGAACAACATGAATTGTGTCTGGCTCATCCAGTCTGATCCCGGCTCGAGAATCCACTTGGCATTTAATGATTTCGACCTTGAGGCGCCGTACGATTCCCTGACCGTGAAAGATGGCGAGACAAACGATGCCTCTGTCATCGGGAGGTTCTCCGGAGCCGAGAGCCCATCCCACCTGACGTCCAACACCAACACTCTGAGGCTGGAGTTTCAGGCCGATCACTCCATGTCTGGGAGAGGATTTAATATCACTTACAGCAGTAGGTTTCAGTTCCAGCTCTTCTCCTTTTGAAACCACACCCAAGTCTGACGACTGCCAATTCTATAAAATCAAGAGTTCATTTGAATAGAGCCTAACAACATCAATTAGACTAAACTGTCTTTAAAAGGGATTTTAATAACCTCATCGAAAAAAAGAAAAATTAAAGAACAAATGAGGAATAAATTCACTGCAACGAATCTGGAGAGACTCCAAAAATCCTTAGTCAGAGCAATTATCCACAAATGGCATAAACTGTTATATAACACCGATGCATAGTAAATAAGACGCATAAAATTACGGTACGGTTCGTAAAACAATCAATGTCATAATCTACCAATATATCTTTATACCATGTAGAGCAAGCATGAGATTTATGGTCACTTAACGTCAAAATTTGTTTTATAGCTTTTAAAAATATTTAATCTACCTCAACAATCAGCAGCCAGGCACTTCTCCAAGCTTCTGCTTGTTGCTCTAAAACTTAGATTAACCAGATTTTTTTCTTTTAAAAATAAAAAATAAATCGCGGAAATAATGCAGCAAAATTTCATGCGTGGGTGGTGCATGAAAGATGGCAAAAAAAAGAAAATTAAATGAAATTGCAAATCAAAGAAGACTGAAGCAGAAGTTATGAGGGAAGAAAATATGGACTTTTGCTAGCAGCCTGTTATTGGAGTATCAGAAACAATCAGCAGAGGTGTAACAAGAAAGGAAAAGAACAAAAGATTGAATCTGTCATTTTCCATGAATATTTATGATGGGGCTTTTGAAATGCCATCAAAACAAAGACAAACATTAAAATTGTAAAATTACTTTTCCTACATATTTATATATATAAATATATTTCTTTCTAATCTCAGAAATATCATCGTATACATGTCTTCTTGTAATTATGATTTTTATTTTTATTTTTTTATGTATATTTACAGCGTTTGGCCACAATGAGTGTCCGGATCCTGGCATTCCCATCAATGCTCGTCGCTTTGGAGACAGCTTCCAGCTCGGCAGCTCCATCTCTGTGGTGTGTGAGGACGGTTTCATTAAAACCCAGGGAACGGAGACCATCTCCTGTCAGCTAGAACGGGGAAAAGTCATGTGGAGTGGGCCCATTCCTAAATGCGAAGGTAAATAACGACAAGATTGCTGGCTAAGCTGTTATACAAGGACCACTATGTCATCCAAGATATCATTATGCACTACTGCACTATACTTCTTTGCTGTCGAAAAGAAGCATAAAACAGACGGAAGTTACATGAGGAGTGTCAGTTCCTGTAGCTCGCAAACGCATTCATACCCTGTGAACTTTGTTGGTATCTGACACATTAAAACTGACAGAACTCTGAGTGAAAGATCAGCACAAACGAGCACTTGATTGTGAAGTAGAAGGAAAAGGATACATGGTTTTTAAGCTGTGGTATCCATTTGCAATCTGGTCCCCTGAGTCAGTACTTTTCCACTGACCTCTTTGAAGGATTTAAAGCCCCAAACATCTTTGGGGATCTTTATTGGCTTTAGAGTTGCAAAATATTTAAATGTTTTTTTGAATGAGCAATGGAACATTATTTTTTAATTGCTTCCTGAGATTCCCATTTTTAATCTCAGGACAAAACAAAAATCTTGGTCATATTTTTAGGTATGCTTTGATCTAAATAATGCAGATGCCTCTTTAGCTCTGGGCTTATGATTGTTGTTTTGCTACAAGGTGAACCTTCACCCCACCCTTAAGTTGTTTGCAGCCTCCAACAGGTTTTCTCCCAGGATTGCCCTATATTACCAAAAAAATATTGTCCAATCACCACTGTTTTTAAATCCCACAGTCTTTGCAAGGTAATTAGAATATTTATGCACTTACTTTGTCTCTTCCCATGAAATGTGTTATTACTGTTGAATGCCATTTTTATGAATTCGAAAAAGGTACGTACAAAAGTCCCACCCCTTCACATGTGGTATCATTGAAAAGCCCTAAATGTCCTCTGTAGATACCAAAAGGAATTAATTCAGTAGAATGCAGGGTGTGGGAGACATTCAAGTTTAGAAATGTCCTCTACAGAGGACAAAAATGAACTACTGGTAGTCAGGAGGATATTTAGCTTAATCTTTCAGTCATCAACTCCGACCAGCTTCCCTGCTCCTGCTGAAGATGAGCATCCTCACAGCATGTTGCTGGGAGGTATTGTGTTGTTCAAGGGGGGGATTTTTAATGTCAGCTCTCTACTATATGCAGCATATAGTTCAAACAGTAGTAATCTTGTATGACCAGAGCTGCTTCTTCCACATGTTTGCCGTGTCACCTACTGCAAACTGCAAACAAGACGTTGCATGGCTTTTTTTTCCCCCCCACTTTATCAGAATGGCTGGATTTATGTTGTGCACATATTTGTCCTGTTGACAGATTCTTTCATCTGAGCAAAGGATCTCAGCAATTCCTCCAGAGTTCCTATAGTTCATTTAGCTGCCTCGATTAATAATACACAGCAACTGTATTTTAACTGCACACTGATGGACGTTTTTTTATGAATCAAGTGACATCTGGAGGCGGTTTGGTAACACTGGACTTTATTCTGGGGTGTCAGCAAAAAAAAGAGAGCTAAATACAAATGCACACTGTTCAATAGTAAGTCAGGACATGTCCCTTGTAGCTGCTGTTAATAGAAACTTCCATTTTGTATAAATGAGTCTTGGCAATATTGCTCCAGGTTGTAAAGACTCATGCTATTCTTGTCATTGCAATTTTTCTGGTCCAATTTTTACAAACCTAAATAAAGTGGCTTCACACATTGAGTTAAACTTTAATAAGAACATGCTACTGCTATTGGATTACAGCATATTAATTTTAATTAAAATGAACTCTTCCTGATTCCTGAATAAGACAGTTTTGAAGTAATTCTAAATTATTCACAGCTATCATAATGATAATGGTTTTAGAAGCTTTTTATGTATTTAACTTTTCAGGACAAATCACAATGCACTTTGCATTTAAGTGGTACATATTTGATGGCGCTCTTACATTACACAGAGTGCGCAACTCATCTGCACACACTAAATGAAACATGAAATGAAACTCATACTGTCATGTGTAAGATTTGTAGTTTAATTACAGTTGGAAGACTTTTTTTTTTTTGCAAAATATTGTGATTTCTTTGCTCAAAAGGAATCAACTTGCATTAATAATTACATTACATGGGATCTTTTACACAACTAGTAAGGGGCTGAACCATCGAAAAATAACTAACAGTTCATGAAACGCATGCAGATCTTATATCCAAGTGAATAATACACTTAATTAATTCCATACTGCTGATGAAAAGTCAAAATCATTACAAACTCAGCACAGTTGTTGCATACGTGATGAATCAACTGCAGCCAATTCAGTGACTTGTGATCGTGTTTTGATGTTACTGTGAAATATGTTCAGAGAGCCGGTTTGGTGCTAACCAGTGCACCAGCCTCGAAGAAGATTGCATAAAGCAGTAATTGACTTGCCTGCCTTTCAGCCTCTGCTGGAGATGATTCACCGATCTAAGCTGCATGTAAATCTTTCAGAATATGCATGTTGCTACTTATACATTACTCATCAGACTGTACTTACATGTAGACCCAGATTATGCTTGAGTGTTCTCATTTTTCCGTCTCTGACATTCCTCTTCCTCCTTCTCCTCCTCCTCCTCCTCCTCCTCTCTTCCAGCGCCATGTGGCGGCCACTACTCTGCTCCGAGTGGGATCATTCTGTCTCCTGGGTGGCCCGGTTACTACAAAGACTCCCTCAGCTGCGAGTGGGTGATCGAAGCCGAGCCAGGACGTTCCATCAAGATCACATTTGACAGGTGAGCCATAAAATTGTTTTGTTTTGCATATTGCTTAAAGCCCTCAGAGCAAAGCGCTTTTGACAGGCATACGTTAACGAGAAGTTTATGAGGTTTTACAAAGAAAATAGGGATCTCTTTAATGCTATAGGCTGTAAAATTATGAGCGGCTGCTTGTTTATGAGAAGGCGGCAGCATATGTTTTATATTGCGCAATTATTTGGGCTCTGATCTGCATAGAGTGGACAAAACGTTCCCTTAAATCAGAGGTTCCCAAACTGTGGGGCGCGCCCTCTGGGGGGGGCGCCGTGTCATTGCAGGGGGGCGCGGGAAGCCGTCTGGATGAAAAAAAAACAAAAAAACATGAACACTGTATGCGCTGGGTTTTTACCTTAGAATGGCCAACTCTCTGTTATTCCTGTCAGTTTGATACAGTAGAGGCTTCCACACTTCCCATATTTGTGTCTTTTATCAGCAGTTAAAACTGTTTAATCCCTTGTTAACATGTTGTAACCTGTTTTTCCGAGCCGCCTTTAACATGAGCGCTACGACGCTCGCGCTGGGTTTCCACCTGTGAAGGAGACCTGCTGCTGCTGGGCGGAGCTACGTAGGTTTGTGTTAGAATCACGGCAGCAAACCAGCAAAACGCAAAGAACTTTTCACAGTTTTTCCCTCCAAACTAACCGACTGAGGTGAGTAAAGCTGCAGGTAATGTTAGCTAAAAGATGACTAGCTAATCAACACAGAACCTTAAGCCTAACAAGTACCTTGTAGGCTACCGATGTTGGTGTCTATTTTCAGCTACGTACATTCATTTTGCCCCCAAAAAGGTCGACACCCGCCCCCCCCCGTGACACGCGTCGTTTCAACCAGGCAGCCAGTTGTAATCCATAGGGGGGGCGCAGAAAATGTTTGGAAACCACTGCCTTAAATCAATATCTATTACTTTTAATACTTTTCACCCCTTTAATAAGTGGATATGACAACAGAAAGTCTAGAGAATTTTATTCTTGAAAGTTTTCATAAACTCATACCTGACGTTGAATTAATTGTCAGAGCAATCTACTGTTATCCTCCTACAGGTTCCAGACAGAGTTGGGTTACGACTTCCTCGAGATCCATGATGGGCCGAACCTCCTATCGCCTCTGGTTGGCTCCTTTAATGGAACCCAGGTGCCTCAGTTCCTATTTAGCAGCAGCAACTTCCTTTATCTCCTGTTTACCACTGATAACAGCCGCTCCAACGTTGGCTTCAAAATACTCTACGAAAGTAAGTTGGAGAAAAATGCACTTTGTGTGCCTGAGCTGACTGGAAATAATGTTGTCCCTGCAGGTTCTTGGGGGTGGGGGGGAATGACCTATAATCACACACAATGTACTTTTGGAGATTATGTTTATAGTAAGCGAGCATTATGCGACAATAATACACCCAATTGTCTAACCGGTACAATCAGGACAACTATGGTCAGTGTTTGTAGAAAAATAAATACACTTGGTAGGCTTTTTTGTACAAATCAGCTAAACTGAATTTTGTTTGTTTTGTTTTCCTTCTTTCTTAAAAAAAAAAAAAAAAAACATTTATTCAGGTGTTACAGTGGACAGCTATTCATGCCTCGATCCTGGTATTCCTGTCAACGGTATTCGATATGGACAAGATTTTTCCATCGGATCCACAGTTTCATTTGGCTGTGATTCAGGCTACAGACTCAGCCATGAAGAGCCGCTGGTGTGCGAAAAGAACCACTGGTGGAGCCACCCCTTACCAACATGTGATGGTAAATCATTCCAAAGCACACCCTTTTCAGGCACATACGGTTTGAAACCAGACATTTACAATTAAAAGTCAGGCTTAATTTAACCAAAATTATTTCAGTTTGGTATCTAAATCCAGGACTATGAGGGGCTATCTATGTTCTTCAAATGCATGCTTTCCCTTCATCATCCTTGGATTATCTTCTTAGAATAGTTTACTGGAAATCTGATCTGTCCTTCTGGCAGAACTTGTTTAACTAGGAATTTGTAGGTCACCTTGCCGACACACATCTTTTCAGCCTATATTCACAGATGTGCTTTGAAACAAAGAACTGCATCAGAGCTTAGTGATGGTCACTGCAAATAATTGATTTTGTTACCCGTAAGGTAAATTACCCACAGGTGAAGACCAGCCGTGATTTTTTTCTGTCACTTCATACGTCCTACTTTCTGTCGAACCACCGCAATAAATGTCAATAAAAAGCATGGAAGGATTGAATTTGTAATTTCCCAAACTGTGAAGAAGGGCTACGAATGCTTTTGGTAGGCACACTGCCCAGTGCTGTGTCCAGGGCTGAACAATTCCCTTGTAAGGCAACATCTCTGCTCGGTTTTAACAAATGCGGTCTTCCACAGCAGCTGTGATGTGCTCATGCTCTGTGCTTTCATGGTTTGCAGCTGTTCAGCACACCCTCGCCTGTCAAGTTGACTTCTAAGACTTTAAAATCAGGGACCATCTCTTCCCTCTACTCTCCAGTCAAGCTGTCAAGCAAGTGCAACTCTGCAGTATGCTTGTGACTATCCCAGATAAAAGAAATCCCAGCTTTACGAGTTTTAGTTGCGAGCACTAGGATGTCAAGGTAACGCTGTTGATTGCTTTAGCAGCCACTAATACAATCAAACCACTTTCTGGTGGCGCATTAGACAAGACGGAGCGTTCGCTGGCTTTAATTATGTTAGCCAAGCAGAAGAAGAGCCCACATCATTCATTGTCTTCACCTGAGCAGCAAGCAACAGGCGCATTCTTGGACCGAGATGAGGATTACTTCTTTGCTTTTCTCATCCTGAACACCGCTGTCTCATGATGATAGTGTTATACTCTACGCTGGTGCCGCTCTGCTCAGGCTCATACGACTCGTAGGCGTCTTGCTGTCAGCTGCCTGCCTTTCGAAACTAATCAAACACCATAGATACCCTTGACTGAAAAACAAGATGCACGCAGTGAAACGGGAATGTTTGCCTTGACATTGGAGCAAGGACTAGACGCTGCACGCTTTCTTTGGAGCACACAAAAACTACAATCAGGGCTGTTCATTTGATAATATTCTCTTTAATCTGACAGAGCAAAAAAAAAAAAAAAAGATGTTCCGGTTTTCAAAGATGACTTGCTTGGGGAAAAAAATGATGAAAAATTGGCTAGAAGCTTTGATTGTTTTGTTTTTGTGAGAAAAATTGCGCGTTATTCAACAGCAAAGCCACTACTTAAAATGCGTTTGCTTTGCATGTCGCCTTGCTTAATCTAAAGAAAAGATTAGACGTCGGCGTGCGCGCGCAGCCCTGAATGCGCACTTTAAGCGCGTGCGCACGCGCGCTTGTGGCTTCTTTATCCATGTGCGCCCTGTCACCTTCTCTCTTGTGTGAGCCGAGAACACAGGAAGGTTTTTGAGGTAAGGTTGACGAGAGCCTGTGTTGCCTGTCACCTCCTCTCTCTTCTCCCTCAAATCAGAAGCCTGAGGTAGGGGGTGGGGGTAGGGGGGCACACGAGGAGGGTTGGGGAGGAGAGAAACCTGTCTTTCTCCTCGCCCGTCTCGCTCACTTCCAATCTCAGTGGTGCAGGAGAGGTGGGAGGAAAAGATGGATGCGTCACTGCAGCATCACTTTAGTGGCAGCCTGCATACTATGGCTTGGTGGCTCTTTCGCTTCGGAATCACTTTTAAATCCCACCGTGTTACTAGGAGTGGTTTCATCTCTGAGAATATAGTTTTGAGCACAATATCCTGCGTACCATTAAATGTAAAGTGCCTTGAAAAACTATTTATACCTTTACTCATGTTACAACCAAAAACCGAAACTAAGAGTGAGCATCACTACCATCCACCTTCCTTTGGGAAATGCGAGCTGGTCAGAGTTGAGGGGAAGTTGACTGTGGCAAAGGATCACATTTGAGCAGGACACTAACCCTCAACATGCAACCAGAGCTGCAGCATTTTCAGATGAATACATATTTATGTGTTGGAACGGGTCAATCAAAATCCAGATCTAACTGCAATTATGAATGTGACCGAAGACTTTCTACAGCTGGTGTTATTACATAATCAGCGTCTCAGACTAAGAAGTTCTTTACTCTTTTATTTGCTTGCTCTTTTATTTTGAGTTTCTCCATCTTTGAAGCAGTTTTGGTTTGTTGTTGCAATACATTTTTGGTGATGCAACTTCCTTGCCATCTTCTTTGTGAAAAGTGGTAAAATGAAAGTTAATGCAGCCGAAATGCACCATGCTCCCTGCCGTTTCCCCTTTAAAACGGGATTTGTCACTGCCAAACTAACACCGCACATCACCCTGAGCACACCGCACCCACTCCTAAACAAAAAGATGGCAGCATCATGCTTCGAGGAAACTTTTCTTTAACACAGGCAAGTAAGTAGGCATTTATTTAGGATTTATTTCAGCAGAGGCAACACATAAAACAATGGTAACTACAATTATATTCGCAGGGTGTCTAAATTAAGACTATTAATAGGGTTTTTAAATCAATATTGAAACTTAGAGATAGAGATATAACTCAACTGTAAGATGGTAGGAGCTATATACAGGCTAATCTTGATGTAAATTTGTTACATGTAAAACAAGACTATGCTAATAATGTTTAATGAAGTGCAAATGTGGCTGAATCCAACTATAGGACTGCATTTTGGGGGGTTTTATTACTAAAATGTTTTGAAAACTATCTACTACTTCCCATCTACTTTGTAAAGTGCTATTTAATTCTGGTATATTATATTAAATTACAATAGAAAGCTTGAATCTTTTTCTTTTTGTTATGAAACATAATATGGAAAAGTTCAAGAAATATGCCCACTGTTAAAAGGCTTTGTATGCAATCCGTCGATACGAATAACCGCTAAGCAATTGAAGCTGTATTTATTGATGCACTAAATTTGTGAAAAACATCAACACAGAGAGTCAAATGAGCCCTAAAAAGTCCCGCTGAAAGCAAATGTTGCTTGTGATGTACATTTGCAGAGACGAAAGTGAGTCACATTTACTCGACTGATGAAAGTCTGAATAAATTTGAAAAGGAAAGTGACGAGATGATCCCACCAGCCGAACAGAGTCTTTGAAAGCAGTGAGAAATTCGGGACTGAACTTTTCCATGAATGGTTCATCAGTCGGACTTTCCTTAAACTGGGATACGTTAGGCATCGCATCAAATATGCAGAAGCTCCAAATTATATCAGTCAAATAATTGAATGAGTCAAATTTGGGGAAATCCTCATTTAGCCTCATCAAGTCATTCTCAGTATTTGAGAACGAAGGAGAAAGAATGAGAGATAAGATTGGAGAAAGTAAAGATAGGGCTGTATTTCTGATTAAAGTAAAAATCTTCTTACCAGTAAAGAAACATTGAGATTTCTGTGTGCGCATGTGTGCACGTTCATTCTTGCTATGTATTTGTTTAGTTTGGAAATGTTCTCACTCCTCACCACTGGTTTTGCAGATCCTGTTCAAACCACAGCAGTTAAATGTGAACACCCCGACACCTTGTCGTGGTTTGAGCTTACTTTCACTCCCTTGTTGACCTGTTGCAGTGGTTGCAGCAGCACACGGCAAACCAAAAGACGGATAAGCAGATTTAAATGTTGGTTTCCCTTGCCAAATGTGGTGGTTTTATTCTCGAAGCATGGCCAGAGCCTTCTTAAATGTCAAGGAAACTTCAGCAGAACATTCAGACCTGACCTCGCAGCAGCTTTTCACCCGATGCACTTTAACTGTAATGCTATGGCATTTTTGTCGCTTTATTGTAAAACAATGTTGCTCCTCCTTCCAACATTTAGTATGAAATCCCAGCTCAAGGGAGCGGGACGGAAGTAGCTGGCGACATACAGTTTGCACACGTTAAAATGCACAGAACGAGGCAGACGCAATTTTCCAAGGTTTTCAGACCCGATATCTGTGCAAGTGCAGCTGTCACCCTGCATTATAATGTTCATGCGCTGAAACGCTCTGGAGTTTTGTGCTGAAACCACGCTGTTTGGTTTCAAATGGTTAACATCTGTTCTGTCAATGAAGTAAAGACCTGAAAATTAACAGACAACAAAAAAAAAAAGTGAAAATAACCTTTGAAAGCAATTTTGACCAATTATATCTTATAACTTGAAAACAAGCTAAGTAACTCATACAGGCAGATTTAAAATCTTTACATCAGCACAAAGACTTCCAGTCCAGATGGTCACCTTCTTTGTATTTCAAATATTAACTTGTGTGTTTCCCCACACACTCCCTCGCATACGTTAACAAGTTCACTGCATATATCTCATGTGTTTGATGAGCATGAGTTAGGTGTTTTGTACAGAGGCAGACGCAACAACGAAGAACAAAGAATACATATTTTATCAATGCTGGACACAATAAAAGAAGCACTGAGCTTCAAATTGTGTTAAGTCACAGCTCGGACCTTCAAGGTCCAGATTTAATTGTAAACAAACTGTTCATACATCACTTGTTAGGAGCTTGCGTAGATTTGCTTTTCAGTTTCCCTAGAACACTGTTTGTCTTCATCTGGCTTCAAGCTGTGTGTTTGTAGCTTGGGGATGTTGTTTCGGACCGATGAAGGTCAACAATAGAGGCTGCTAACAACAATAGCGTAGATGCTTCTGTTGCATTATCTCACAAAGGAAAACTTCCTCATTAAGAAGAAACAAAACAACATCATCAACATCACAAAGGTCTCCAGTTTTCTTTTTTTTTTTTTCCCCAAACTGGTTTTAAGGCAAGTTGAATTTTAAACATTGGGCCTCCAACTTATTAATGAGGCTGGGTGGAGTTACTTCATGATAGCCGCTGATTGACAGATCCTTCATCAACTGCCTGTCAAGTTTAAAAAGACAAGCATTGTAAACTTCAAATAAGTTAATTACTTTGTTCATTAAAATACTGAAAAAGCATCATATTAAAGATGGAAAACGATGCACATTCATATTTTTAAGGAGCCAACACATCTGACATATGTGATTGGAATGAACACTGATTGTTTTAGCCGGTCAGTTTCATTTCAAACCCCTGAAGCCCATCTCAAGGTGTGACTTGGCTTATGTGGCTCCCCACCCTGAGTGCCATAGTTTTGGGGGCGTCACAAACACCTATATTCAAGTAAAAAAAATTATGTGTGTTTACAAACTAGGTACGGCTATGTGAATGTTTGTATCATGGAAGCAATCATGATACAGGGCTCTATTATCACCACAACTTCCATTGCCTGGAGCAAGATTGTTTTTTTTTTTTTTTTTTGATTGCAATAGTTTACTTTTATCTCAAAATTAGGAATAAATAGGAGCTTATACTTAACCTTCATTATCATATATGATCATGTCTTCTTTTAATCTAGGGCCATTGCACAGTTGTATTTTCAAATAAGTCATAACATTTTATATACTTATATGCACTAATGTTCAAATAGACGCCGATTTAAAGTGTGCAACTTTACTCACAGCTCTTGGATTATGTCCTCCTCTGTGGCTCCCTGTCTCTTTCCGTTTGCCTGGCCGGAAGCAGCCATGTGTCAGTATTTGTGTGCGTATGCCTCATAGAGGTGGTATTAAAGGTCCACAGGGAAACATTATCTGTTTTAGCAATCAACAATCTGATGCTAACCCTCTCCCTGCCTCCCGTCCCCTGTCTCTGCTCATCTCTCCCCGCCTCTGCCCCTCTCTCCCACACTGTCTCTCTCAATCTATCCAGCACTGTGCGGCGGGGATGTCAGGGGCCCCTGGGGAACCATCCTCAGTCCCGGCTTTCCAGACAGCTACCCTTCATCTCTCAACTGTACCTGGACGGTTGAAGTCAGCCATGGGAAAGGCAAGCGAGCTGCAAAGATCCCCACTTCCTAATAGATAGAGACAGACCGAAACAGTACAGTGTGACACGGCAAGCTCAGTGAATCCGGTTACTTTTGTGCCTCGGCAACAAACCTGCATTGCAAGCGCGTGCGTTTCTGCAAACTTGAGAGAGACGCTCCAGATTAACTTGTCTGGCGACGGTACTGCTTGGTTGCACAATGGTATTTTGTTTAGTGAAACATGTTTGCAGGATTTGATTTATTTAGTAAAAAACACACTTCTGCTGATTAGAACTCAACATGCATGACGCTGCTCTGCCTTCATATCCATCCGTTCTTGCGTTTCAAACAGGCGTCCAGTTTCAGTTCAACTCCTTCCATCTTGAGGACCAACATGACTACCTCTTGGTAACCGAGAACGGGAGCTTCCTGCAACCTCTGGCTCGGCTGACCGGCAATGAGTTGCCTAGCAACATCAATGCTGGTCTCTATGGCAACTTCAAAGCCCAGCTACGATTCATCTCTGACTTTTCTATCTCGTACGAGGGATTCAACATAACTTTCTCAGGTATTGTACTTCTTCGTGGATCAGTCTTAGTCGACTGCGGATTAATTGACAGGGTGTTTCTCTTGTCAGCAGTGGGAGCTCCGTTAATGCAAAATCGATTGTCTCTGAATCACATCCTTTAAGAATGTAGAAATTTAATCTAAATTTCACCCAAACCTTAGGAAAAGTACAGATGTGTTTGGAGACGATGGAGATTAAATACTGTCAAAATCAATCTTGTGCAACACACTGTAAAACATGTTATTGTTTAAAAGTTTGAATTTATCAACATGTTCCTTCAGGTCAACAGGAGTTAAGAGAGAGGGAAGTTCAAAGTTACATCTTCCCCTCATAAAAAAGACATCCATAGCCGGGTTACCCTTTTAAGTGTTTCCATCTCTCCTGTACAGGAGCTCATGAATCTCAGTCCATGTTGTGGGATGTTTTATAGTCTCCCAGATGGCGTACACTGATAGTCAGAATGTAACACATGGGAGGTGTCACAAGAGATTTGATTCAAACCTGCTAAAGCAAATAAATCAAGTACATTATTTGTTATATTTTGCAAAACACACACTCAGAAAGCTCAGTGGATAAAACACAGCAAAGACCGACAAGTTGTTAGCTCATTGTTCATATGCTTAGATAAGAGAATTGGAATATGTATTTTTATTAGTTGTTTTCCACAACCTATTACTTCAATTATTATGCACCAGTAGTGAGACAGAAGGTCTGGTGTAGATCTGGTTGTTACATCTTTGAGAATGACTTTATTAGCTCTGCTTTATTAGATTTTTATGTATTTGAATCTTCAACAGAATACACTTTGGAGCCATGTGAGGACCCTGGGATGCCCAGGTTCGGCCGGAGAAATGGCTACAGTTTTGGGGTCGGAGACACTTTGTCCTTCTCCTGCAACTTAGGGTACCGCCTTGAGGGGGCGCCAGAGTTGATCTGTCTAGGTGGAGGGCGAAGAATGTGGAGTGCTCCTTTACCAAGATGTGTTGGTATGCAGTTATATAACTGTGCGTCCGATGTTATGCGTTGGTGTGTCCTATGGATTTGTTTTACTACTGCAGTTGATGAATTCATGAATTCTGTTCTCAAACTGCTGAAAGAAAATGTCCAGATATCATCAGCAAATCCACATCTAACTAAATATAATAAAACAAAAACAAACAGAGGTTTGTAAGTAGGCTTGTGAAAGTCTGGACTTAAAATCTGATTGAGATTGTGGCATGGCATTAAATAGGCTGTTTGCAGAAATTCTCCACTTGTAGCTGAATTAAAGCAATTCAGCAAAGCAGAGTTTTATATATTGTTGAACTTAGAGATAGCTCTTCGTTTCAGAATTGTAAAATTAACAAAAAGTCAGCTGAATGTGACGGCGATCATCCTGGCTTCCACTGGGGCTATTGTTCTGAAATAAGGGAAATAGCCTCACAATTTCTCCCAGACCACCATGGTATTCTTGCCCCCTGCTCCTTGAAGGATTGTATGACTCTAATCCAAAGTCTGAACACCATGAACCTGAAACCTCAGGGCAAATAAGGAACGCATAAAATAGGATTTGATCTGGGTGCACATGTAGCAATGAGGGGGATTTGACACTGCCTGCTGCCACACACTCCCACAAGAGGTGTTGTTCTCGCATGGAAAAGTGTAGGAAAATCCAGGCACAGAGATCCGGGCTTAGCACACACCATGCGGTAATTGAGATTACATGTTAGATTATTTCACACTACAATCCTATTTCCAGCTACGCATCGTATTTGCAGTGGTGGTGTGTACGTCTTAGGTTCTTTGTCATCAGTGTGACAAGACTGATAATGCAAAGTGAGGTTTTTTTCCTTTTTTTCTATATTTAGTTCCTGTATGGTATGTTGTGTTGCATTGCTACGTGACATGTTGGAGCTGGAGGTGAATATCAGCAGATGTTAAAGATTAAATCACCTACAATATACTGTTTTTTTTGATACATTAACTCTTATTCCTACATTCTCTTAGTCACATTCTATATTATGTTCTTTTTTTTAAAAGATGTTTAAAGTTCATTCCAAAGAAATTTAGTTGTTGCTGAAATTGGTAAATATAAAATGTTTCACTTTTGAGTCAAGTTCATATACATCTGGCTTGTCCTGCACTTAGTTAGCCCCTTCCTATTCAGTGCACCGATCAGAACTGAATGGGATATGTTGAATGAAGTATTTAAAGGACAGGATTTACAGGCATAGTTTATTATTTTTTAAAATGGAAGACTTTACTTCCCATATTACACCCAGTTATCTCTGCCCAGTTGTCTCTAAAATCTTCAAGACTTTCCAAACATTGCTAGATCACAGATAAAATGAAAAATTCATTTCTAGGGTGAAAGATTTATTCTACTGTTCCATTTTACACACTTTCCATGGACGTTTTTAGTTTTTTCACTAGATGCTACTTTATATTCACTGTCTACATCATTTACTTTGAGCTATCGGAGGTTTCTGCACCTCCACCGTCAGTTTCAGTAAATATCGTCAGTTTATCAGCAGCCTAAGAAGATACAGGCGCTGACGTTTTGTAGTGGGTGCAGTGCTCTATTTATGCCAGCATGCCTAATAATTTTAACCTGGACTCAGCACTTTGTTTGAACAATATGCGGAATGAAGTTAAAAAGACACCTAAAATCCAGAATGTGTGTTTTTCACTCATCGGCTCATCATTGATAATCTAAGACTCTGTGGTCTGAAATTAGTGTACAAGTTGATCTGTTGCTAGGATATCACTGTATTAGAAAACTGTTTAATCTTGCGCTTCCTTCTCATCACCAAACATGAGGTTTGTTTCGACTTTGAACTAACTGTAACCTGAACTTTAGCGTTCCTTAGGTCAGTCAGCCTGCATGTGCAATTTGGAGGTGTAGCTTCTCTACAAGCTAAGAACCTTGTCCAAGTGCAAGCCCAGCATGTAGGAATCTTAGCAATGCATTTGCAGATTTAGATGTCATAGAGTGTTTATCTCGCAAGCTTAGTTAGATTCTGTTGATTGCAGTCAGAGCAGTGAAGTGATGCAGTTTGCACACCAGCTGCACTGCCAAGAGCAGAATAGGTCCGTTAAGTTACTTAGTGTTGCCAGCCAAAGGCGTAATTAGGTTTTAGCTCTGGCATAGAACAACTCCTCAAACTCTCCGATGAAAAATCTGCCCTGGTTTGCATGGGACATGTCGGAGATAAGGTGCCATTGCTCGCTCCTCCAGTCTTGGAACTCTCACACTCCATCAGTCGAAGTGGGGAGCACTCTGAATTCTTGATGTACCCCAAAAGACCTCTTCCGAGAGTCTGAAGAGACCACCAGTGTTCTGAATGTTTCAATTTTTGTTTGTTCCAATCAACGTTCCAGTTTTTAACGCCGTGGTGCAATCTTAATTCGGTGCGAAAAGGGGCTTAAATAATGCACTTTGCTTACCATGGGTGGTACTCAGGTTATCTGAGTTTAAATGGGTCTATGTTTTTATGCAGCAGTGCCTAAAACGATTTGGATGGGCAACAAAGAGGTTTCTTTTCTTTTAAAATGAATTGAGATGAAAATACAAAGGGGAAAAAAAGCTGAACAAGAGTTATAACATAGCAGCAAAGGAGAAGGGTGGAATGAAATAGGGGCGAATAAAGGGGGCACTAGTGATATAAAGTGGAAGTGAGGGACAAAGCGCAAGAACGAGGAAATTAAGAAGAAAAAAGGGAGAGGGTAAAGAGGTAATTTTCTAAATGGAAACTGTAGCGGGGTGATTTATTGATGATATGACAGCTGTAATAGGACTATTACACACGTATAGACACAGAACAGTAGGGAAAGGGGGTAGGAGGGAGGGGTGCTGGTAAAAAAGAGATGACAGAGGCAGGGACTTTGTGAATAGAGGGCAGATGAGAACAGTCCAGAGAGTGGAGCGTATGTAAGATAATTTCTGAACTTTGCACTGCCCAACAGAAATTGAGAGCTCGAAAGTTCAGATGTTTAAAAAGATTACCGAATTATTACCATGCACACAGTTTATTACATTTCAGACAGATTGTTCTACATATATTTAAATAAAGTTCATATTTAGGTTCCCCAACATAGCTGAGATTGAAATAAAAAATGTTCACATCATATGCTCATCACATTTTCTCTTTGTCCTCAGCTGAGTGCGGTTCTTCAGTCATAAATAACGAAGGCATCCTCTTGTCTCCAAACTACCCAATGAACTACGATAACAATCACGAGTGCATCTACAGCATCCAGGTAAAGTTGAAAATCTTCCCAGCGTTTGGTATTCACCCATAGTGTTTGGACTAAATAAAACATCCCGTAAAAGTGGACCACAGAGACTCCCGCGGATCCTAGTTGGCAAATTGCAAAATCCGTATCAAGTGTTGTAGAATTTAATAGCCATTTTTGAGGCATGTTGAATGCATGTTGCCTGTGCTGCTTCTCGGTTGACCTCATCTGTATTCCATGTTGACTCAAGGTGCAAGCTGGGAAAGGCATCAACATCTCAGCTAGAACATTTCATCTGGCCCAGGGCGATATTCTCAAGGTAAATGCACTCACACACATACATTAAGGACTGTCTGGATCATTATACCTATCTGATATCTGTGTCCATTGCCTGAAGTAAATCATTAAAAATGAAATCAAGCCATAGATTTGTCTTTTTCTTTTTTTTTTTTTTCTTTTAATGTATGTTTCATAACAAGAGCATTGCTCTCTTATTTGTATAGATTTATGATGGCAAAGACAACACTGCTCAAGTTCTTGGAGCATTCACTGGCTCGTCCATGTTGGGCCTGACTCTGATTTCCACATCAAACCACCTCTGGCTGGAATTTTACAGTGATGCTGAAGACACTGGAGAAGGATTCAAACTGGTTTACTCAAGTAAGTTCAATATAAGTGCTGTTTATCACCTCACTGCATATTTTGGAATGCATCTATAGAGCCTTGCAAAGGCTTTCATATTTTGTCAACCTGCACCTGCAGATTTCAATGTGTGTTATTGTTGTGATAAACCAACACAATATATTGTGTAATTGTAAAGGAGAAAGGAAAACCATGCAGGATTTTCATGTATCACAGTGTGCTTTTTTTTTCTTCAGCGTCTCTGAATCAATACTTTTAAGAAACACTTCTTTTTGCTGCAATTACATCTGCATGCCTTCGATCTTTGCACATCTACAGACTCTGCAAATAGCCCGAAATCAGTCGGAACAGATTAAAAGCATCTGTCAACGTCTTCCCACCTTTGCTAAGTTGACCAGTCAAACACATGAGCATGCTCTCATATAAACCATTTCACTGTAGCTCCGGTTATATGTGCAGGATTGCTCTCCTGGTAGGTGGTTAACCTTTACCTGCCACAAATCTCTTGCAGCCTGTAACAGGTTTTCGTAAAGCATTATCATGAGTTTTCCTGTGATTCTGCCTCTTAGACTAGTCATGTCTTTTAACGTTTGCTTTCTTTTTCCTGGTAAGAAAAAAAAAATTGTGGTGTGAAATATTTGTGCTTAAACCTGCCTTAAATTTCAAATTACACACAGCAGTCCTCTATTTACTAATTATGGGATTCTCGAAGGCCTTTGGTTACGTCTTATTTGTCGAAGTGTTGAAATACATAATCATGTATAACTTTCATTCCACTTCATGATACCACACTAAATTCTGTTGGCCTGTCACACACACCAACCACGCAATTTCAATCAAGTTTGTGGTTGCAATGTGTCAAAATGTGAAAAAAGTTCAATGGATATTATTTTCACAAGCCACTGTATTTTCTTAACAAAAGGACAATCTACCTGGAGTTAACTTGTGAAATGCAAACAATGATACACGTAGCTTGATCAGAGAGCTAATGTTTTGTTCTGATAAAGTAAGCAGAAAATCGCTAAATTCCTGATCTTTCATGCTGCCCTAAATCAGATTATGACATTCTAAACATGTATTTGCCTAACAGAGCTCGCTAAACAAGACATAGAAAGAACACTCTGTAAAACCAAATAATTATCAGAAATTAGCCTCATTTTATCACAAAAGCCATTGGAGCCGAGATGTCACAGTGGGATACAGCAGCGTGCACGCATTTGACAGCATCCTCTTATTTCCACATTTTGATCTATAAACTCTACATAATAAAGCTGAGTCATACAAAATGTTTTCATAGCATAGTAGTTATTTGAGGCCGTATTGTCTTTATGCTGATTGAGTAGCATGAAACAGCGCGCATTCGCTGTTCTCACGCTTTTTCCGACATTGTTTTAGTACATCAAACAAAAGGACATTAATCTTAAGAGCTGTGCGCCAACATTTTCTTCTTGTGTTTTGACTCTGAGCTCGAATGTGTTTTATGTAAGTCTGAAACGGAGAATGAAAGATGTAATCCAGTACAACTCTGGAGACGCACTTCAATAAATAATTCATGGTCTTTTGTTTTCTTTCAAATATTGTAACAAATAAAATTTGAGATGGGCGGCCGTTCACTCCCAAGATGATGACAGATGTGTTTGTGTTGTTAACTTGGAAAAGAATCAACAACAAAAAAAAAAGGACCGCTTTCCAAATGGCCGTGTTTGAGGATTTAGACATGCACCTGCATTACTCTGCCAAGAGAAAGCTCAAATACTGGCGCGCCCTGTCTTCTGGGTAATGTCATAGATCAAATCCCTGTTATGGTCTTGTAAGGATATTTATAAATCTATTCAAATCCCACGCCGTGAAACTGTGCACTAACTGCATGTTCTGAATATTACCATGGCAACTGAGCTCAGACAGACTGTGGAAAACAACCTTAAATTGGATAAGGTGTATACACGCTCCAGTATCACTCCTAATAATGGTACGTCTCATGCCTATGTATCTTTTTTAGGCTTTTCAAAGAAATTGGGATGAGAGCTTAACAGAGTCTGTGATATCAGGAAGCTTGAGAACAGAATAGTTGAGTGAGCTAAATATTTATAGAACACTGCTGTGCATCTGCAAAGAACCGGGGTCCGGTCCGCCTGTGTCGGCCCTCCATGTCCTGTTTACGAGCATTTTGAACGGTCTGCATTGTCAGGATCTGTTTCCTTCCTCCCAGGTTTCGAGCTGTCTCATTGCGAGGACCCAGGTGTGCCTCAGTTTGGATTCAAAGTCAACGACCAAGGCCATTTCTCTGGGAGCAGCATCACATACAGATGTGAGCCCGGTTACACTCTGCACGGGGCTTCGACACTCAAGTGTATGACAGGTGAAAGGAGAGCCTGGGATAACCCTCTGCCGTCCTGCATAGGTATGCTCTTGTTACATTATGTCTTTTACACACTGAACGAGAAACAAAGTTGCCTCCTATCCCCACATTCAAGCCAAGTGATTTGGTGTCCCGCTTGTTTTAGGGGTGTGGCGGAAAGTTATCCTACAGTCTGAGATATTTGGAGGGAACGTTACATGAAAGTTATTACACACATTTTCTTGAAAATCTTTCAAGCCATGTGGATAACTTCATCTTCAACGGGAAGGATCAACAAGTAACAAGTTATTTGTGTAATATATTTTGGGTATATTTAAAGAATGATGCAGCAGAGTGACTTGGTGTTTGAAATATCTGCTTTGGTCAATAATGTTTGTACACAGTCCTGTCTCTTTGGGCTCTAGGAGGAAATTAGCATTCAGGTTCTCCTCCATAACATAAGATTTTTTTTTTATACATCATCGAAGATTACCAAAAATCTCCATCAAAAACAAAAACAAAGTTTTTTGTTTTTTTGTTTTTTTTGTGGAGCCAGAAATAAACTTTGACTGGAAGCAAGTAAGGCAGCCACAGATCTTCTACCAGTCCTTATGGCATTTGTTAACCAGCATGTTTGTTAACACCGGTATGAATGAATCATATTGTGACCTGCAGTGCATTACACATCATAGACGTCACCAGAAACTCTTCTAAGATGAGTTTTAAAATTGAATTCAAGAACTTTTAGCAAGTTTCCTGACTCTCCATCTCTTGTCGCAATTTGCCAATATTTTCAGACAGGTATTCTAAGCAAAATGTTGGATGTTGGTAAATGGTGTCATTCCTCAGTAAAAATAATAATTACATCATCACTGCTTAGTGTCCTGTACTCTGGATTACCTTGTCAACCAAGTCTGCGTTGTAGAAACGGATAAGAAGCTCAAACCTGGAAGGCAACTCATTAACAAGCAAATTTCATGATGGCACAAAGCTGTTCAAACTGCAATTAAAGTAAAAAAAAAAAGAAAAAAGCTGGCCCTGCAGCCTCAGAACTTCATAAAGACAGGAGGTACAAGACGCTTTCCGCCTGCCACAAAATGAACCACTGCAAAAGCTGCAAGAGTTCAAACTTTAAGTCTCTTCATTAAAAGTCTTGCCGTTTTTCCACCATCAAATGTCCATCATATAAATGCAGACCTCTCCAATCATTAAGTCTTCATCCATCTTAATGCAGACGGAGGTCACAACCCTGAGAAATCAAAACTTTAAGGGATAAATGGAGTAAAAGACTGAAGAAATATTCTTTGCACTTAAACAAACCCTTTTTATGCAGCCAGTTGAGAGGGATGATGTGGTCTAAAGCAGGTAGAGTATAGTGTGTGAACAAAAGTAATTTGTAATCAGAAAAATATTTCTTCTAATGATGGAATGTCTTTTAATCTGAAATGAGCATGCAGCAGGATACACCAGAAATTCATTAATATGGTTTCTGACATGACAGATTTGCTTTGGAGGTGTTTCTGTTATACAATATGACGTTTTTTTTTTTTGTTTTTTTTTTCTGCTGATTATACCAGCTGGACACTCTGACCCTTATGCATAACTACTTGCTTCTACGCACCATTTTTCTTTCCTTTTCTTCAGGCATAATCCCTATCGACATCTATTGATATCCCTGTTAAATGCTAAAGGCTTTGGCAACCATCCGATTCATGAGAATTGCATCATAATATAGTTTTAATAATCTATTTTTTTTTTTTTTTGCTGCAGACTAATGTATCAAAGCACCTGCTATTTTATAGAAACAATAAAACACTGGGACGAAACACCCATTGGAGTATTGACACATATCTATATAGGCAACTCTATTTCACTGCGGTTTCACTCATTCTCCCGGTATGCAAACGGATGAATCATTATCACGCCACAGTCATAAATATTGACTGAAACAAATCAATAATGCTTTACAGGCATTTTAGGCCTCCAGAACTTTATGAAATCATATTAACGTGTCACAGTAATACAACCTGCGCAGGAAAATAAGTTCTCCATTCACTATAACGTTAAGTCAGCCACGTTACAGTGGTAACCCAAAATAGACTTGTAATTGTTTTTACTTGCCACAGGAAAAGTACTGTTCAATAGCTGTATACATTAGTTATTATACCTCTGATGTAAAATGTCCAGTGCTGACCAAACATGAATAGTAGCATGCTAACAGTAGCTTAGATAGCTAAATAGTGTGATTTTGAGGACTTGCCCAATACATCCACGCACAAATATCGCCGTATTATTTTTAGGTGTTTATCTGACTTTCTGTTCTACATGATTGTTGTGAAAGTTGAACTGAAGTAGTGTTTAAAACCACAACGTCTTACTTAAGGAAAGGTCCCTTGTTGAAGTTTCAAACTGTTTCTATTTCATTTAATCAAAGGAAAGTAAGTCACTATATAACGTTCAGAACAACATGCGTTGAGAGAGCCGTCTTCTTAGTGTGTCTGCTAGTGTGTGAGGGGGAGAGACCGATAAGTGGTCCAGTTATCTGCTGCAGTCCTGTCTGGTCTGACCCAGCTGGTTTTATTTATCAGGAGTCAGCTGATCTTCTGCATATACCTGTCCTCTTTAACTTTCACTTAGAAAAGTACCTTTCGATAGGCATCTGGACCCGTCTTCTGAATAGTAAACTTCCTACCTCAACACATGCATCTGATGTGAGAATTTTAATGTCGGCGTGTCAAAAGACTCGAGTCTTAATTTGAACTTGCTCCTCAGATACTTGGCTTGGACCTGCTCCTCTCCGACTTGAGATTTCGCTTGGGCTTCGGGCAAAAATACTGGAGACTTATCTTGAATTTGCCCCTCAAAGATTCAATACTTGATTACGACTTGGCCTTCAAAGACTTGACACATAATCTAGACTCGGGGCAAAAGACCTGAGACTTGACTTGGAAATTGATGTGAACATCTCTGCTAACTATTTAGCAATTCAGAGTTAGTATGAAGTAAAAACACATTAAAAGCAACCACAGTTAGAACCAAATGTTTCTGACTGTTTTTTTTTTTTCTTTTGTTTTTGCTGTCATGGTTAAACTATAAGATATTTCCTTTCTTTAGGAGAGGAGATATTCAGAAGACAGGAGATATTTTTAGAATGAGATATTCAATATTTTGGGGGTTTTGTAAATTAAAAGTTGTTGTAAAGTTACAGGTTTATAGCTAGAAATCAGAATGTCGCCATTAAACTTCATGTTGGTGTTGTGATATTTACTCCCAATACATCCTGCTGATAAGTGTTTATGAGAATACCAAGCATTTCGATTTAATACTCAAATAGTGCTTGGAATGCAAGAAAAATAAAAGGATCTTTAGTACTACAGTAGCAAAAAACAGCGAACAGTTGTAACAGAGTTTGAACAGATAAAAAATACACTACTACACCCAAATAAATGCAAAGCTCATTCAAAGAGACTAACAAACTGGTTTCGGCAGGCTTAGCAGTCAGCTCAATGTTTTCAAGATGTTCCTTCCTTCATATTTTGCCTTTCAACTTTTTGATTTGAAATTCAGCTTAATAAGTCTCTCTCCTTTTCACTATTAATAATGAAAGACTCATAAAAACCACTGGCTAAAATTCCCTGACTTTATACTTTAGCACTGACACACTGTGACCCCGTCTAACCGCTGGTCTTAATATTATATTTCTTATTATTACTCAAAGTTTTTCTTTCTTTACACCCCTTGGTTCTGCCTCTCTCCCCCTCCTTCTTTTGCATCCTCTCGCCGTGTCCTCTCGCTGTCCTAATGTAGTATATTGCTCCTATTACCCGAGATAATATATTCCTGTGATGAAGAGCCTGAGGGAGGAGGAACTTTCAGAGGGAGGAAAAGCAAGAGAGAGACGATGAAGATTGTGAAAGTATATAACTGGAAAAGACAAAGTATAAAAAGAGGAATTATTTTAGTTATATAATGTGAGGTGATTTCTTCCGGGAGGAGTGCAAGATCAGCACTTTGTTCCTTCTTCCCCTTCCTCTCGCTTCCCCTCGTCATGTTCTGTTTGGGAAGAAAGAGTGAGAAAGACAGCGAGAGTCAGAGGCGGGGTGTCGGTTTCTTTTTTCTTTTTAGTCACTTTTGGTCTTTGATGATCACTAAGCAGCCCCTGAGGTCCACCTAGCCGGTGTGATTGCCTTGATAAACAAATACCACAGAGATAAATGGTTGACTTGTCATACCTAATCAACACATTTAAATTTTGTTTTTACCAATTTAGCCTTTGTAGGGCTTCGGTAGTGGGCGTGTAATGCTGTTTCTATGCAAATCTAAGTGTTGTAAAAATATAATTTTTTCATGATGATTACAATGCAATGTCTCGTTTGTGTGTGTGTGTGTGTGTGTGTGTGTGTGTGTGTGTGTGTGTTCAGTGCAGAGTTTAGAAGCCTTTAACTTAACTTTGAGGTTTCCTAGAGATTGCTAACATTTTCTAATCCAGCATATTTCTTGACTGACAGCAGAGGGCTATTCAAAAGGATAAAAATATAAAAAAGAACAGCTTGTTGTTATCTTTTGACATTCATATCCCTATTGTGGCAGCCTGAATGAACAGGCAACAAAGCCTCATGGAACATATCAGATTTTGGCTTCCCAACTGGACAATAACTTATCAGGTTTGGTCAAGCGTAGAATCGTCCGATTTTGGAACAGCCACCGTTTTCTCTGTGCATCTCTAGTTTGTGTTTTCTCCTTTTCAAAATTATTTCGCACGGGTGTTCCCATTTAAAGACATCTAATGGTGTTCCCATTTAGAGCCATCTAAAACAAAAAGCTTGTGATTTACAAAATAAATGTTATAGAATTTTACAAAACATTTGCAGATCTTTTGTCAGTTATGCGCAAGAGCAGCAAAGATCTAAAACTGATTAGCCAACACTGAGTGTCTGAAAAGTTCGTATTGAAATATCTTAACCTTGATGATTTTTCTTCCCTTTTAAATGGCAGCCTTCAGTTCTTGGCCTTTGACACGGAAGCCAGCCACGACATGCTGAAAGTTTGGGACGGCCCGCCTGAGAATGAAATGTCTCTGGCAGAGCTGAGTGGATCTTTGCTTCCAGAGGGAATCCATTCCACTCTAAACACAGTCACTGTCCAGTTTGAGACTGACTTTTACATCAGCAAGTCAGGGTTTGCCATTGAATTTTCCAGTAAGTAACACAATTTAGAAATCACTAAGAAAACATAACCATCGATCCATTTTGATTCTAAAACTCGTGTCTTTTTTTTAATCATACTGATCTGAATCATGTTTTTGTTGAGTTGGTCTTATGATTTTTTTTTTTTTTTTTATTATTAAAACTAATAATGAAGAATATAATTATGTAGTTCATGATCGACTTGTTATTGAAAGACTCAATATTTCTAGTACTCATTCATTTGAACCAAATTAAATAAAGTTTTTAGAATTCCTAAGGGAATTTTTAAATCAATATCAGGAAAAAAACATTTAAAAATGACATTCTTAAGTACTGACCCCAAAGGAAGAATTTTGATTGTAAATTGTTTATAGCCTAAGTTTCTCTGGTGAAGACAGAATCAGGACATATTCTTTATGTCCTGATTTTATGTTATCAGTAGTAATTACATAACAGACAGAATAATTGAGTTTTTTCAGGTCCAATGTAATAAAAATAGGTTATGCTTGCCATACGATATTTGTTTTATTCTTACTCAAAACTGAAATTTACAATGTCACTTTTGATCTGGCAAATGAGTCTCATTGGAATCCATATTTAAATTTTTTGAATATCACTTTGTAATTGGGGCTAGCGAAATGACACTGTCACATTTCCAGAACAGTTACCTAATACTCAGTTGCATTATCATTTTGGGTGGGAGGCTTATAGCTGGGCATGGACTTTTCAGGCTATTTTAATCCATTTAGAAAACATTTTCTGAGCATTGTTTAAAACATCAGATGCCGTGTAACAGAATTGTGTAATTAGATAATATTTAAGGTTCAAGCACTAGGCATTTGTCCAATGTTTATACACCTTTGCACACAAAGTTTGACCCTGATTTTTGTAATTGCTCTCTTTCTTTTGTTTTGTTTTCTTCTTGCATTTCCCACTTTGTCCCCTTCTCTCTCTCTCTCTCTTCTCTCCAGGCTCCGTAGCCACAGCCTGCAGGGACCCAGGTGTGCCGATGAACGGCACGCGCAGCGGAGACGGCCGTGAGCCGGGGGATTCGGTGTCCTTTCAGTGCGACCCTGGATACGAGCTCCAGGGAGACGACAAAATAACCTGCATACAAGTGGATAACAGATACTACTGGCAGCCCAGCCCGCCTGTCTGCATAGGTGAAAAGTTTAGCTGCAGCATACTCTGCTGGGACGTGAAACAGATGCACTACATTCACACAGCTGGAGTTGTTCGGTTTCAGAAAATGACTCAAGGACACATCTGCCAGTGACTAAAAGAATGACTATATAGCCTGTGTCTATATTTAGACATAGAGATTTGCATATTCATCTCAGTTATATGTGGCATGTATATGTGGCGCTTTACCGCTAATAAGATATATATTTACATTGTGTTCTTATTGCAGCACCTTGTGGGGGAAATCTGACTGGCTCCAATGGGTTCATCCTCTCTCCTAACTATCCACATCCCTACCCACACTCAAAGGACTGCGACTGGCTCATTGCTGTCAACTCAGACTACGTCTTGTCGCTGGCCTTCATCAGGTGACCTATAAACTGAATATCCAGCATCGGATGTCCATATACGGCTTTTCAAAACCTAAAGCGCTTGTGCCAACATTTTCCAATCCAGAAGTCTTTTACTTATTATTTAGTGTCGGCTATGGCTATGCTGTTGTGTAAGCTATACATTAACCACAAGAAGTATTTACGTTACAGTCAGAATGTCGGCTTAAAAGCTGCTTAATATTTTCTACGTTGAAATCAAAAGGTGGGACGCACGTTAGACTTTACTGGAACTTTTTGTGTACTTCTAAGAAAAATAAACTCCTACTGCTCTAATGCTTTGGGAAAAGGTTTGGGACAAATAACTACATCCAAGAACAGGGCGACTTAACAAGCTCCTTTTCTGTTGCCATGTGTTACGCTGTGTGTTTATGTGGGCGACTCAAAAAAGCTGGTTGACTATTTTATTGAAATGTGATATTTAGTGATATATTTTTAAATAGATTTGAACAACTTTTAATTCATTAGCACAATTGACACACTTGTTATTGCAAACAAAAATAGTAGCAAATTAAAATAGTACATTTTTCACAACTTTTGTCAGTTACTTATATTTCCAAACTCGCGCACTCCACTGCTGACAGAAGTTAAAGAAAGAATGATATAAATAAACTTTCTGTAAAAAGGATCCTGTTACTGAAACAGTAACAAATCTAAACTGAAACAAATCTAAATTTACTTTCAGCCATCGATCCAACATGCGGGTGGAAGAGATATTGTTAAATACTTTTCACTTTGTAATACAAAAATCAGATTTAGTGTTGACAAAGTTTTTAGTCTGTAGATTAAAACCTTAGTTTTACTTGTTAAGCTAATGCTAATGTATGTCTTATAATCTGATTCATTGTGTTGCATGTTCTACTTGTTTTCCCATCAGAAATAAATCTCTGAAATTTGTAATCATTACATTCGTTTTCTACTATTTAAAATGGACTTTTACCGTTTCACAGACTTTTCTTAAATTGACAACAAAGGCAGTTTAATTTTAAACGTAACATTTAAACTTCTCTCATCAGTTCTCGCCTCCTTTATCTTGTCTTTGTTCCCCTTCAGTTTCAACATTGAGCCAAACTACGACTTCCTGTACATCTACGACGGTCCGGACAGCAACAGTCCTCTCATCGGGAGCTTCCAGGACAGCAAACTTCCAGAGCGCATAGAGAGCAGCTCCAACACAATGCTTCTAGCCTTCCGCAGTGATGGCTCTGTTTCATATACTGGCTTTCACCTGGAGTACAAAGGTAAAACTAGATGTGATGTGCGTAGAGGTCTGTTCAAACAGATCAAAGGAGTTCAGATCACCTTAACTCAATAAATATTCAGTTGCCCAAAACAAAACCAATTTTTTCCAAGACATAAATGTTTGACTTTTGTGTGCTACCATTGTGTAAAAAAAAAAAAAAAAAAAAAAACTATAGCCTAGTGTTGGAGCCTCAAAACTTGCTCTTCTATACAACTTTACTATTTCTTGCCCAAAGGGAAAACCAAAGACTCTTTCTCTTCTGCTTGCTAGTGTATCTCTCTGTATGGGTCCCTAACGACAGCGCACTTCTTTTTTTTTTTTTTTTTTCGGGCCACTGATGACTCTCCCATGCTGTCCTCTTGTGTACTGGATAAGATGAGCTTGCAAAGGACCAACCAAACAGATGGTGGGGCTGCTCTCCTCTGACAAGAGATTTGTTGCATCTTTCATTGGTTTTAGGGCCTTGATGATCTCCTCCTGCATTTGAGATGTCTGCTTCTCTGAGAGTACAGATGTTAAGATTCTCCCTCTCTTCACCTGAGGAGACGGTATGAGACGGCACAGACTGCAGGCTGTTGCTCTGCAAAAACCTGTCAACCATCTCACAGGCGCTGTTCCACCTGGTGCTTACATCTGTTTTCAGCTCATGTCTCGACAGACCAACTAGCTTCTGCTTCTCTTCAAGCTGGTGTTTTCCACCGGTGCCCTGGTAATGCATCTCGTCCTCCCTTGTAGCCCTTTCACAGCAGGGCAACTAAAATGCTCGCGCAGAGGAAAGGTTGTGCGTGTGGGCACAGGTGGGAATTATCTCAATTTGGCGAAAGCAAATACGTTGGATGCCACAGGAATAACCAGCGTGGGAGATCACTTTTTGTGCGGTTTAGCCATTTAGAGCTCTTAAGACACAATCCGTCTCTGATCTGTAATACCAGCGTGCAAATTTGGTGTAACATAATGTGGCAGTGGACGTTGAAACATCACCAGCGAGCTTTCAAACTAATCTTTTTGGACTCGGCACTAATTGTTCTTGGCTGACACGGGATTGTCATGGTGTAATAAACCTTGTAAAATACCATTGTTTCATTTCATTTAAACACAAAAGTAAAATAAAACTATTAAAAGATCAAAAGACAACAACTATTTCTACTCCTGCAAAAAAAGATTTAAAAAAAAAAGTTGTTTACAGCCGTGATAGGGATGTCTTCACCATCAAAACCTGTTATAAGAAATAACAGGTTTAAGAAATAATCCTATAGAGTATTTAGCAACGTTTTCCAAATACTCAACTCAATGTCATTGTGCTGCAATAATGCAATTACTTAAGCTCATGTTATGCTACCTAGGTCCTTTTTCTGCATTAAAGAATATTCACCTACCTTTGCATGACAAATTCTTGAAGTAGCTCCTCCATTCCAGTATGCATGCAGTATCAAAACAGCAGCACATCTAGAAAAGGTCTAAGAACTGCTTCTTGGGGCAACAGTGAGTAGCATAGTGTTCTTGTTCAAACTACAGTACATCTCCCAAGACTGAAGCAAGCCAGAACGGACAAACTTTTTTTTTTTTCTTTCAAGATGACAAGACATTGAGCAACAAACAACAAGCGCTCTGCAGGACTCCAATTTACCATGATTCTTGTCCACCAAAGGCGACGCATTAATCGTAGCTCTGGCTGATTCCACGCGACAATAATTGGCCTTCTGAGCTCTAAATTCGAAAATATTGTAAATTGTTAACAAACGGAGAGATGCAAGAGAGTGACAAACATACCCAAACCAGTGATTATTCCAAAGTAATGATAATAAAATTAAAATTCAGATTCAATTTCTTATCGTTGTGTTTGAATGACTTTTTTTAAACACAAACGTCATTATCTACCAAGCACTGGCATGCAGGCAATATTTACATTTTCTACCGCAATCAAACATTTATTATTTTCTTCACATCTCACGTCTCAAATCATTTGGAGAAAAAAAAAAAATATATATATATATATATTAACGTACTCTGCCCGAAACGATCGTGTTAGGGGACTTTTCTGTCTAATCTGCTTTTCATAAATAACCTGGCTAGGAAAATCGCTCTTTTAGGTTGACAGAATTTTCCCCAACTCTCATTACGGCAGGGTCGGTGCTAAACGTGTGAAATATTCCATTTTCACATCCAGCTGCTTTCACAGCACCCATACTGTATGCATGCACCGCTGCGTATGCGGCAAACTTGCTCTTATTGATTACACAATGTATCACAGTGTTTTCAAAATGAAAAGAAAGATTGCCCTCCCGATGGAGTCCCTGTTGATTTGTCGGGGGCTGAAGCAGTCTGTCAGGAGGTGTCACTTTGATACACTTGCACAAAAGAATAAATATTGGCTCTTTGTGGACTCAGGAATTAAGTGTGAAGTTGATGCAGGTGGCTGCTAATCTTTCGGAGGGAGGGCCGCGGCCGTCGTTCGCATGGCATGCAAAGAGCTGAGGGATAAAGTTATCGTTCTTGCTCCATCTTCACACTGACTGCTAAGGCAAACAGACTGATGGAAAGGCCAGCACTGCGACTGCCTCTTTTCATTACTGCAATGGACTTGGTTAATATTAATTTGCCTTGTTACCAATGTGTGCCTGTCACTTTTTCTTTGTCTATCCCCTTTCCTAATGAGAAACACACTTGTTTTATTTTTCTTTGTTTTCTCTCTCTCTCTCTCTCTCTCTCTCTCTCTCTCTCTCCGTCTCTTTCCATTACAGCCAAACTGAGGGAGTCCTGCTTTGACCCAGGGGTGGTTCTGAACGGGACCAGGTTGGGATCCGATTACAAGCTGGGCTCGACAGTCACCTTTTACTGTGAAGCAGGATATGTTCTGCAGGTACAAACACCTGGATAAAAAATCTGCGAGCTGGCAGCTTGATTTGTTGAACTGAGGGTGAAAGAGGTCCTAATAGTAGCCAAATTGTTCAGGAATTTACCTACTCTATAGCTCCTTCACCAGACACCTAAAATCTCTTGAGTACCATATCTACATTTCTGAAAAGTTTATTTTCTTTACAGTAATTGTGGGCAAAGCAAAAATACTCTAACTAGATCCCCAAACATGGATTTTTGCCTTCTGCTAAAAATAAACGAAATCAGAAATTAGTGAAGTTTAAGCGGTCCTGTACGGTTGCCGACAGGTACAAACACACGGCTAATGTCAAAATGAGCTGCAAACGCATGAATGATGCAAACTCCAAAGCACACCAATACAAAAAAAAATAAATAAGTGCAACAGATAAAAAGTGCTGCAATCACAGAAAGTAGAATAAAAAAACTACATTCAACGAAACAAATGCAAACAAAAAATGCTGCAACCACAGGAAATAGCTGCAATTAGTAAAAACCAACAGCAAATATGAAATGCTGCAAACTCGCTCCACAAACTAGGATACTCTAGAGTACAAGGGTTTGCCTGGAACTCTGAGAAAATGCTGATAGTCCAATCTGGTGACAAGTTGAATATCCAAACAGCACTATTGGTTGCATACATCCTATTTAGCGTTAGCTGCTAGGTAGCTAGCAGCTTCAGTAAGATTATAATTGCTCATGTGTCTTTGTGCTTGGGGAAGGAAACATGCAAGTCTAACTTGCAGAAAAATGAATCTACATTTAAGAATTAAGAATGATATTATTTATTTGGCTTCTCCTTGAGCCGGAGTTTTAAAAACATGGGAACTAAAGACAGTTTTAATCGTAATTTAGTTTTACTAATGCTAGATTTTGATAAATTCCACCAAAAGCTACATTATTAACCTGAAGGAAATGGAAGAAAGTGCAGCTGTTTAAAAACACGAGTGGGGCTTTTTTATTTATTTTTTTGTTTAGTTTTGCGTCGGCAAAACTAAACAAAAATTTCTCATTCTTTTCTATTAACATGATCTTTCCACACTTGAGCAAATATATTATTGGCCAGCAGAATGTCAATGCATAGTACTTAAAATATTAAAATAAACTTAGCGCAGAAAAAAAGTAAGGATATTTTTCCCTGTTTTTTTTTATTTTATTTATTATTTTAACAATGTTTTGTGGCAATAAATCTCATCTTGTTGGAAAGCGTGTGTTTTTTTGTTTTTGTTTTTTTGTTTTTTTTTATTGTGCCACCATTTTAAGGAAAATGCATTCCTGGGTTGAACAGCAGAGTTAAATATCTAAGTTGTGCCCAACAAAGACTAATCATTTCTGCCTCTTATTCTACATTACTTGACGTATGAAAAAGCAAGGCATTTTTTGCCAATTAACAATTTATTCACGTAAGGGATGTCGGGAACGTCTGCAAAAATTGTGCACAGCCATCACAGCTTGGGATGTTCAGTTCCGTGCCACTTCATCACACGGTGCTCAGGGATTGCATCACGCTCTTCATTCAGCATTTGCTACAAGTCTGACTTTGTTTTTTGTTTTTTTTTTTGTCTCTCTGCTGCAAACGTCACTCACAGACTAATCTCAGAAGTCTTTTACGGGGCTGAGCTCAGGATACAGTCAAGCCTCTCCGTACTCTTCACTCACAGAATGAGTGATATGGAATTGCCACTGGTTGCAGAATCTCATGTCGTTGTCTTTATTGAGAACGCCTTCAGTGAAAACACGCCTAGTTCCTTTTTCCAGGGAGGGAGATGTCACCCCAAACCATCACACTACCTCCACCGAACGCTGTCTTGCATTGGCAGGGAGATTTTTCTGTGCACAAACCACAGACTAAGTTCTGTTGCTCAGCCCAAACATGGTTGAATTGGAAAACTTAAACTGGTTAACGTCTTCTTATTCTTTTGTTTTAGGGCTACTCGACTCTCACCTGCAGTATGGGAGATGATGGGAGGCCCGGATGGAACAGAGCTTTGCCTAGCTGTCAAGGTGATATAACCTTTGCACCATTCTTCAATTCAATTTAAATTATTCTGTGCATGTACTGTTTGAACTTGCTGCTTTCTTGTTGTGCGACTTAACATTCCTACCGCCTCCAGCTCCCTGCGGAAGCCGCTCCACGGGGTCGGAAGGGACCGTCTTATCGCCAAACTTTCCCAGAAACTACACTTCCGGACAGACCTGCATGTATTCCATATCCGTGCCGAGAGAGTTTGGTAAGTTCTACCCACTCTCGCAGCACACAAGGGTTCGGACAGGGAATTTGCATGAAATGGTCTCATGTCAAACTAATATTCTGGAATACTTTAAATAATCACATGCTCGCATGCGCAACTCGAAAAGGGTATATGTGGTTCATAATGCTGAGATGGTGAGCAGGAAATCTGCTCGACAAGAATCCCTATATTGAATTATACTCAGTGAAACAAACTGACATTAAAACATGTCTGATTTTTAATGAGGCTGCTTAAGGAACCCCTGAAGGATGCCTGTTGGAGTTTTTCAAGCATGCCGAGAAACCAGCAGTGATTTATTTTTTTTTTCTCCACACGCTGAAAGGACACTTGGTGGCCATTCATTTGATGCCAGGTCGGGGTTTCATAATTGAAATGACATTTAAGGATGATACTGTTTTTATCTTGTCACATTTGATTGGTGGTGCTTGACTCAGACTCCAACGACACGTTAGGAGAGAGATGAATATTGCAGGGGGATCTTCACATTAAATGGGCCTGTGCTCTTAAGTGTGGTTATTAGAGGTAAGGAGCAGTTGCACCTCCGAGAGCAGGGCTCAGTGGACACCCGCATAGATTTGTTGCCCTCCAAAGAGTCATTCATACACGTGCGTAACATTTTTTATATAAACTTTGCATGATTTTGTAAATCTTGATAATTGGATGCAAAGTTGGCATTTTTAATGGACTTTCAATGCCACTTTTAGAGCAACTTTGCATTAAAAGTGTCATTATTTACCGAGTGACACTTCATGACAGCTGCCATAAACATTCATAAAGACTTCTTTATGTTCATGACAGGCGTTTATGACAGTGTCATGTCAGTCTTATGCACACCCCTTCAAATAAAGTGTTACCTTAAATTGTATTATGACTTCTGGTTTGTAACCAAGTTTTAGTAGTGGCCTCCATCTGGACATAGATTTGAACACTTAATGAAGGGAACCAAGAAATGCTGTTGAAAATTTTTAACAGTAGGTTGCCGATTATTTAAACAAAATGTTTGTTACTTCTGTAACAAACTTACGTGGATCGAACAGATAAAGTGCTTTGCAAAACTGTTTAGAGTGGATGCTTTGTCACGTGGCTTTAATGTGTTGCAATGAGAGTTTACGTGGTAGATCCACTCACATAGTTGTGAATTGGAGGAATAAGGATACCGGGTTTTCGAAAGCATAGCATCAGTTTTTATTCCGTCCCTGCTATTGCCCCATTTTTAACTCTCCATCCAGGTTTGTTTCCTGTTGGCTTGCCAGCAGCATCTGAGAATTTCTTCAATACTTTCCTCTGTTCTGGTGGGGCTTTATGCTCTTCCAGTCAGCTGCAGCCCTCTGCTTCTTTCAGACCATTAACCTTCTTGTTGACGTCTTCCACCTGGAAGTAAACCGTGTCCGGGATTCCTGCATGTCGGCACAGGTGCCGATCTTCTCAGCGAGTTCAGTGATGAGCCTCCAGCTGAGCCAAGGGTACCGTCTCCTGCAAACGCGTTGATGCTCAGAGTAAAACAGTCTCGCAGGAGGTCTCAGTCCAGGAAGGAGAACCGGGAATGAATGGTGGACACTCCCAGAATTGGATTCTTTTTTTTTTTTTTTTTTACCTGGACGCCTCCAGGGTGACTGACGACCAATATGTGGACTGTTCAGTATCTCTGGGGTGTCTTTGTTATAAAAACAGGGCCAATGTTTCAATAAATAAATATTAAATACCTTAAATCAAATTGTATCCAGTGTGCACACAAAATAAATACCTCTGCTCTCACTATGAATAATTCCACACAGTCAATATGCATATGAAATACATAGAAATGGTTCAATGCAAGATAAATTAAATTCATGAAAAAGCCAATAAACACACACAGCAATGTTAGCACACATAGTGTCAAAAAGAACTAATTCAAAATGCTAAATAAAACAAATATGTAAGGCACTTTATTTCATCATCGTTTTCCGTTAAAGGCTGGTTTAGAAATCTGCGTTTTTATACTGCTTCATTTAATAAATCAGCAGCAGTGCTGCTACAGGCAGCTAAACAACAAACACTCATCGAAATCAATGAATCCAACTCTGGGAATGGTGTGTTCGGGGTATTGTGCAGGGTTGGTTTTCAACCACAGCATCTTTAATATAGACGAAAAAGTTTGATTTTGGAATGATTTTTCATGACTTTCTTTCAAACACGGCCTTGTATGTGGTAGAATTGCCTCCACTCTCTGCTTATGTTCTGTCAAATGATTTTGATAGGCTTTTTAACAAGCTTCGGATTCGGCTGCTTGATGGTATTTTCACCGTTAATTCAAATAACCCCCCTAGTTTCAAAACCGTCATCTGGGAGGGAAAACCACGGCCAAATTTCCCTTTCAGAAGTGCCTTACCTTCTTTCGGAGGACCACACGGCTCAGGACACCCACTCAGATGGCTCATCTGAAGGCATGGCAGCTCTGCAGGGATTGTTGCCCAGGTTTCCTTTTATCTGATATCAGGAGCTTTTAAATGAGCAGTAAAACGTTTTCAATCATCTGATAACGCGTCCCGAAGATTGATTCAAACTTTGCGAGACATATTAGGACCCAGATGACTGCCGATGTCCCACGGGTGTATGTGAGTTTAGTGCAGGGAGGCATCAATGAGCCGTGTGGTAAACACACCAAGGAGCAGGTCTGCTGTGATCATCCCCTCCTAGTGTGTGTTATACTGTTTGCCATCCTTTGTTATCTCAGTATGAGGGAGGAATATGCCAGCAGTGTTTTTATATGTGTGTGTTGGGCCATTTGCTGTGCGCCGTGTTTTTTTTTTTTTTTTTTTTTTTCTTTTAATTTGTGCATATGTGAGGAAATGCGGGTGAGTTTGTCATTTTGTTGAAAATATGTGCAGCTTGGAAACCTTTTTAAGCTGTGAACTTCTCCTACTGCAGCACCATATGTCAGCATTGCAGCAAAGAGTGACGGAGACTTTAATCAGATTGATCCATCGTGGTTTTTAAAATCTGCAAATGGTGGACATGTTTTTTTTTTTTTTTGGAATATTTTAGCAGATGGGCAAAATTTGCATTTTATGATCAACTCAACAGTCGGCAAGGAATGAAAAGTGGCCAGTCTTCTAGTGTTGGTTTTTAATCAAATGTATTATTATTATTTTTTTTATTTTATTTTTTTTTTTTTACATTTTTTTCTGGTAGGACGTTTCATGTTCTAACTAGGTTGTACACGAGAACTAAAATAGAAAGATGTGAGAAGTTTACAGACACTCATTGTGTTCATAAATGTTATAATTTAGGGGACTTAAAGATGCATTTGTACTCTACTTTTTTGAATGTGCCCTTTGTACATAGATAAGCGATGTTATCAACATGTGCACTTTAAATTTGTCTAGTCCAAAGATACTTAATCTCAAATATATGTATATATATCCCCAATAATATTTGATAAAATATCCCCAACAACATGCTTGGCAGATGGCACAATGTTCCTGTCTGAAAACCTCCACATGAATGAATTTATAGTCTGCTTGACTTCTGAACAGCGTAACCAGTTTCGCTTCGAAGTGAAGATTTGTTTGAAATTATTTGAAACTTTTACATAACTGGGTGTGCAAACAGGTCAGTGACTCAAAACATGCATCAAAAAACAGTTTGAATATTTAATAAAGCTAGACATCATTTAGGTTCAGAAATCAACCCAGTGCTAAGATAGCAAAAACGTTTGTTTTCTCTGCTCTTTTTAAGGTCATTTGATGAAAATTTTAGAAAAGGGTTCATGTAAGATAATGGCAAAAGCAAATATTTAAGGCAGTATGTTGTCACCTTGATGATTTATGGATTAGAGAAAATTCCCAATAAGTTTAAGCTTGTGCGCCCCGTCCTACTTTTCAAATGTTATTTGGTGCTTTGAAATAAAAATGATTCCAGTGCTTCTTTACAAGCCACTAATGTATTATTGTCATGCTTGCGATGAATGCAAATAGCTTCTGACTGGCACTAAAGCCTTCTAGATTTGTTTTTTTTTATTTTTAATGTTTTGTCAAAACAAAAATTCCCTTGCGACCCTGCACAGATAAGTGGATGTAGACAAAGAACGGATAAATGAATAAAAGTCCGCCTTCCTTTTTTTTTTCCCCCCTGTAATGCTTGCCATTAATTTAACATGAAATGAGATTTTGCATTAAAGAAGAGAGAGACTCTTTTTGCTCTAAATGAAATCTATAGAGAGAAACACCCTTGGAGAATGTGGCCATTGACCTTCTTATAGCCCTATATCCTTGGCAATGTTCACATTTAATCCTTTACAAGTCAGCCTTTGGGGGCCACAGTGAGTTAGAGGAGGAGAAAGCGATGGGGAGGGGAGATACGTGTGCAGTGAAAGGGATACGGCCTCAAATAAATGTCATGTACCGAGTAGGACACCTTTTTTTTGTTGTTGTTTATATGTGCTGTTGACAACCCACCTCCAGATTTACATCTTAATGCAGCTAATGATGGGACTAAAGATCAAGTGATTGTTTAGGACAGAGAGAATTGTACTAGATTAAGAAAAGCCAGAGCCTTTAGCCTCTGGGGAGATTGTCTAATACCGCCTGCCACTAAGCCTGCACTGGAAAATGTATGGTTTCAGCAGAGGAATATCTTGCCCAATGCATGGCAGGCGGTGTTTAGTTCCTGACTGCATAAAGAGCGAAGACTGGCGCATCTGTATGGCAAATGCACTTCTCAATTAATAGCCACCTGCTCGCACGTTTTACTGCTAAGAAATAACGGATTGATCAATGTGGCTTCGCAAGCGGTCGGATTGATTTCTGCGCCATACATCTCCTGATTTGACTGAGGAGAGAGAAGTAAAGCATTTCCCACACAGCCATATGTTTGCAAATGTATGTTCGGCTTCGCAAACATTAGCATTTTACACGAGCCGACAACTCTGATGCTCCCAAACCAAGTGACCGGCTGTTCGAGGATGGAGGGAGCGGTCTGACTGGCGCACGATGAAGATAGGTGGTGTTTTGACTATTAAGTTGTGCTGATATGTAATTTTGTGCCAATGGTCGGCTTCAAATAGAAGTTGACACTGCAGCTTAATAAGATGTAAATTAACTATTACAGGTTAATTTTATCGGGGGAAGGTCAGGCTCACACAGCGGCGTGGAATAATAATTTTGTCCCCCATTCGATAGTTGTTAACTCATCTCTTTATTCGGCTTCCCCGTTCATTTTTTGTTTCCTTTCGCCTTTTCTGCAGTCCTCTTCGGTCAGTTTGTGCTGTTCCAGACATCCCTGAATGATGTCGTGGAAATCTATGATGGACCCACCCAACAAAACACGCTGCTCTCCTCTCTCTCCGGTTCCCACTCCGGTAAGGATGTGTGGTTGCCATCGCAATGAATGGATTTCCAGCCGGAGCAAAGGTTCCATCTTGGAGTATACCTGCTTTTTTTTTTTTTTTGTCTTATGTCAATTTCTTTTTCGTCAGGTGAATCGCTGCCTCTGAGTTCAGGAAGCCAGATCACAGTAAAGTTTACCACGGTGGGACCAGAAACTGCCAAGGGATTCCATTTTGTCTACCAAGGTCAGACCTTGAGCTGCGATTGTTGTTGGGTTTTGTTAATGTACCTTTTATCTAAGTGAATATACAAGTGGCTTCAACAGTTTTGTTCAGGAACGCCCTTTTGAAATTCCTCATTCTGACATGCTTTTGTCTTAATTTGTAAAAAAAACAAAACAAAAAAAAACAAAGACAAAAATAACACCTCAGTGATTAGAAAATAATACATTAATCTTACACTTTAAGTTCTCCCTGCTCGTACAAGGTAAGACCTACTTTTTGCTTTCAGAAGTGACTTATTTCTGCATGGGAAGAATCCGTCCAGGTCTCTGAAACACCAATGTATTATCACACTGTTGCATATCAGTGATGCCGAATCAGGTCTGCCATATCCTAAATATGGTGGTTTAAGATTTGATGACAATAGAGGACAGCAAGCTCATTGTAATTTTTTGACAAGCCAGCTTAATGATATGTGACATTAATGCAATATTTTACTGGAAGAAGCCATCAGAAGATGGGCAATTCTCTTTAGCAACAATCATGTTTGCTAAACTAATTATAAGTTGGTGCCAAGGGGCCCTTCTGAGTGCATGCCAAAAAAGTATTCACCTCAAGAACAGTATTTATACAAGGCAGGGTGGATTTATTCTGCCATTTTGTTTATAATAATTTGGTATATCATAGAATTTGCTATACTGAAATAACTGAATAACGTTCAGTCATTTCAGCTGAACGTCGCAGCTGAAAACCAACTCATAGGACTGGGAAACGTTATGCAATCTATTATTGTCCAATATTAATGGCATTGGCACCCCTCGGGTTATCTGTAGCATCTCAGTCCAGGGACTAAGATGGCCATGGGAGACGGTTGGATTTTTGTCTGACGGACAATTTATGTGTCTGACGGGCAAAAAATTCATCAAAATTCCGTTTTGGATCATACCTGTATGATCCAAAACCGGATTATACCTGTAGTATGATCCTGTAGTATGATCCGGTTTTGGCTCATACTACCAGAAGAGCCCTATTTTCAGTCTTCCTGAGAGGCCGCCAGATTCATATTAAAATGTTCTGTTTTTTACAGTGCATGATGCCACACACCCTAACTAGGTTCCTCCCTTTGGACAGTGGGGATACGGTTTTGTTTCACACCAGTCACCTGCAGTGCAATCAGGGTTTTATCTATTAAAAAGTATGCAGCATAAAAGTTAATGGTTGAAGATAATTGTGAGATTTTGCTACTGCTATAAAATATGAATTTATTAATTTTTCTATAGATCTCTACAATGAGTGCTTATATGTGTAGCGATGGCTGTAGGCAGCAAACATTGAGCCATCACATTATTACTTCTTTAAACCCAAGCTTTGTCATATTGCTCTTGTCTCCAGCTGTACCCAGGACAAGCTCCACTCAGTGCAGCTCAGTCCCAGAGCCACGCTTCGGGAAACGTCTCGGTAATGACTTTGCAGTCGGCTCCTTGGTGCAGTTTGAGTGCAACCCCGGATACGTGCTTCATGGCTCCACTGCCATTCGCTGCGAGAGCGTACCGGACAACCTGGCTCAGTGGAATGACACCCTGCCAACATGCATAGGTACAGGGCCTCTGGGTAGGACGCCGTATGTTTTACAGTAAAAGGAGCAGTAACAACCCAAACACATGTACTATTATTTGTTTCCTTCTCTACAAAACCCCCCCACACTCCTTCTCTGTAGTCACTTTCCTATAATGTTGTTTTAACCTCTTTACTTTTCTCCCCTGCCTTCTCTCTCTTGTTGCATCATCCTCCACAGTTCCCTGTGGAGGCGTACTGACCTCTCGCCGTGGAACCATCCTGTCTCCAGGCTACCCAGAACCGTATGACAACAATCAGAACTGCGTGTGGAAGGTGTCCGTTCCAGAAGGGGCCGGAATACAGGTTGTTTCTGTCACACGCCGCTTTCCCAGCTGACCTATCTATCATTGGCTTAAAAGCTGAGCAGGCAGGATCTCAGTGCAGATAGGACATTATTAGTGGGATGAATGGATGGATGGTTTCTGAGAAAAGGGCCATCAGAGATAACTAGATAGGATCTAATCATGAAAGATAAGGCCTGATTGCATGTAAGCTAAACGGCTCTCACGGGCGAACACAAAGGCAAAGATGCCTCTTCTGGAAGTGGAGTTAGAGGATGCTGGCATGCAGCTCACATTTAGCCCTTCACTTTGAATTACCCATGACTCTTCAAATATCCCTCCTTGGTACTAATTAGAATAGGAATACAAACATTTAATGGCACTATGTTCATTTACAAGAGAATTAAATCTCCTTTGCTTAAGAGCCTGAAAGCTCAGTTAACAAGAACAATTTCTCTTTCTTCCCCACTTCTTTCCAGATACAAGTTGTGAGTTTTGCAACTGAACATAACTGGGACTCGCTGGACTTCTACGACGGTGCCGACAACCATGCGCCGAGACTCGGCAGCTACTCTGGTAAATACTTTTACATAATCTTCTGTCACTAAGAAAATACTCACGCACCACTTAAACCGAATCACAATTCAAGATCCAAAACCATATTTTCAAAAATTAGGACATGCCTTTCTCAATTTTGCCATTTAGTGATTGAGATAAATGCAGGCACATTACAAGGTTTATTTTTTTTAGCTATGTAACAGCGTTTGTTAAGTTTTCTGAGGCACAATGTTACTTTTGGAGTAAATTCTTAAAATGATTGCACGTTTTTAATTCCGAATCAAAATTAAGTGAACATAGAAAATGGATAGTTGAAATGTCAGTCATATCTGAACTGAAAGGAAAAGGCCTCTACTTCAAAATGCCTTTGTTTCGTTAGTGCTTCAACACTGTGGCTAAGGATCACTTACTATTTTGTTTTAAGATATAAGGGTTAATTCCTGATGTTGTTCCTCGCGGATGGATGGATAGACGGAGGCATATGAGCTTCAGAGGACGGGACAGTGATTAAAGTTTGAATACAAACAATTTTTCTGCACTCTACTCCAATTTTGCACAGTATGTCTGTCCAGTCTGGTAAAATGCATAAGTCACTGTGAAGGAACCCTGAAGTTATTCATGAAACACAAAGACGATTTAAATTGCTAATATAAACAAATGGTCAAATTTTATAGACCGCTCACCTTCATTTCGGTTTTTCACTCTTACATATAAAGAAGCTACGTCGCTCCTCGGATTCCTGACTTAATAAAAACTGCTCTTGAGAGACTACGGAAAGAGCGCCTTGTACTTTAATGTGCCATTAGTTTGGCTTGCATGACTATCCACGCCGCCTGCCTGCAGTCAAAGTGCCTCGGCTGTGCTGCTGCTGCTGCTGCAGCAAATCATATTCACATCCTCTTGTGGGGATGGCGGTCCTGCTTTTGGGGAAGGGGGGGCGGAGAGGGTCGTCCGGGCATCTTCTTGTTGTATTCAATTAATCTTTAGCAGGGCTCGACATCTCTGTGACAAAATGTGAGGAAGATTATGAGATGAGGAATGAACTGACACCACATTGATTCTATTTCCATATGAAAATATCATTAATAAGTAAATCCGTGTGTCGGCGTGATAAAACAATATTGATTTTAAATTCACTTCCTAATTAATACTGCCATACATCTCCAAATAACAGACACTGTTAAATCAGTGGAGTTAATTATAAAGCTATAAAATATTAATAGCTGAATAATAACTAATAATGATTTTTTTTTTTTTTTAATGTCACAATAATAAACGAGGCTTCCTCTGGAACATAAAACCAAAGCAGCGGCAGGGCTGTACAATCATTAAAAAAAAAGCCCTGCTTATTAATTCCACTCACAACAGTAACATTGTCAGCCAGTAACATCCAGTGACCTAATTCAGTGTTCATTCAGATGAAACTTTGAGTGCAGGCACGTTGTGACAACACACCTGGCACTAAACTGAGATCTTGTGTGTGTCAAAGGACAACTCGCTTTTGCGATATTGGAGTCAATAGATGCTTTATTGCAGCTGCAGTGGTTCATTTTCCTCCTAAAAGAAAAAACTTAAACAAAAAAAAAACAGTACATTCCCTTTTGCTAAGTAGTTAAAAAAAAGTGAGCACAGACTCTACATTTAAATGCATCATCTCATTCAAAGTCATTGTGTGAGACCGTTTTTGCTTTGGCAGTGCAGCAGATTTCTTCCCTTTACTTTGTACTTTCCCCTGCCAGTCTATCTAGGTCAGGACAACATTTGAGAAGAGGTTTCAAATAAAATAGATGCCTCAAATTAAAGTAATTCCCTTCTCCTTCCTTTGAGAACTTTTCTCTAAGAATAAATGTGGGTTTAGAAAGGCCTTTGTTGTTTCCTTGGCTTCAGATGTGATCATTTGCTTTCAAAATATTTGATCCTCATCCTCTTTTCCTGTCTTTCTCTCTCTCTTTTCTCAGGCACAACTATCCCCCCTCTCCTGAATAGCACATCTAACAACCTCTATCTCAGCTTTAGCTCTGATATTAGCGTCTCAGCTGCTGGATTTCACCTGGAATATACAGGTAAATGCGCATCCAGCTTCATTTGAAATAAATCCTGCTTAAGCACTGTGGAGAGAGCAACTATTGAACGTTCCAATGCGTTTTTTTTATTTTTTATAAATGAATACGTTTCTGTGGAAGGCTATTAAAATGAAATTAACACCAGATGTTTGTAGCAACCCAATTAATCCACACACGCAATACAAATAAATCGACACAAATTAGTCCATAAATCAAGCGGTGTTAAATAAAGTAGAGTGACAAGAGAGAAGTAGTGAAACAGCATGATCCTGGACTGTCCTTTCAAACTGTTTTCAAACCTGGAAAGTCCTGGAGTCTCTCTGATCAGCAGCTCCTTTGATTGTAAAATAGATCACAGTAGGTTGTTTCCTTACAAGAATGGGAAACCTTCTTGTAGTTTGGGGAACCTTTTGTACTAGGCTTATGTGATTTGGGTCATTGTCTTAAAAAAAAAAAAAAAAAAATCCATCTGCACACTTAAGCTAAATGTTGCCAGGTACACTTATCCATTTATTCTTCTTTAAATTTAATTTAAAGTAGTCTGCCAGTCACATTATGGTAAAAACAAACAAACTAACAAACAAAAACAAAAAAATAAAACAATGCCATGATGTTTGGTGCTTTGTGGTTGTACAGAGCGTCATTCCTCCTCCAAACATGGTGTTTATTTGCAAAGATGCAAAGATATGTAAAAAGTCCCAGTTTGGTCTCATCTGACCAGACCATGCTCTCCCAGTGTCTCATTAGCTTCTTCAAATGTACTGCAGCAGGTTAGCATGATTACTTTTCAGTATGATCACTGAAACTTTTCTAACCTTGTTTGTGTTTTTGTTTAGCCATTGGTTTGGAATCATGTCCAGAGCCCCAGACACCAAACTATGGAATCAGACAAGGAGACAGATTCATGGTTGGAGATGTTGTCCAGTTTTCATGTGAACAAGGATACTCTCTTCAGGTAAAAAAAAAAAAAATAATAATAATAATAATCAATGTGTTTATTTGTATAGATTTTACTTATAAAGTCTTTCTACATATCGACAAAGTCAGCTTAGTCATAGCAAGCCAACACACGGCATGTGTATTATTTTTATTACATATCAAGTTCAAACCAAATACAAAACATGTAGGTGAAATGATTAAAGTCTGCTCAGCTTTTCTGACGTGCCGCCATTCATTTAGTTCATCCCCTGGCGCCGCAGAGCTAAAACTATCTGAACTGAATCAAAAGGAAAGCCTTCTCTCGTGTGATTTCCCTTCGTTTGCTAAACACACAAGTCTGGTGTGGTTTACACAACTCCTGAATTATGAATGTCTCTGGTGTGGTCTACCCAATTTCTATGCAGTATGATGTAGAGTTCTAGTGGAGGTTTGTGTGTCTTACACTTAATAAGGTCTGCATACACCACAGTCCCAGTATTCTGCAGATGCCTTGTTGTGTGAATGCACAATTGTTAAACAGAGAAGAATGCACTTTTAAAGTACTTGAAGTTTGTGCCTTGATTTTGTAATTGTTTGATGTTATAAAAATATGGTTGCTTTTACATTTCCAGGGAAATGCACATATCACCTGCATGCCTGGGCCTGTTAGAAGATGGAACTACCCTGTACCTCTGTGTATAGGTACGTGTCCTCCTACACGTTGTCGATGCTCACCCTGAAACGCACAAGCATTCATATGATGATGATGCACCCTACAGATATGCAAACCAAGCCGCAGAACTACAGGGTTTATGCAAGATGTCTCGACTGCTTTCTCTGATTCTCAGGAAATAAAAGGAAATTAGATGTCTGGGCAGGCTTTTTGTGCTTTTGAGTACTTTTGAATCGATGCTAAGCCATAAACATGCAGAATGCACCAACACATCAAGTCAAGTTTTGGAGAAACTGATCCAAAGCACATTCCTTTCCTTGGTGTCGACCCGTTTGATTAGCGCTTAGCTAAGACACAGAATGCTACATTTGTCCTGGTGATTGTCATCAATAAAAAAAAAAATAAAAAAAATAGACACGTGTTTATAAAATAACAAACATAAAATTAGGACAGAGCAGAACTAGAATGCTTACCGCCATTGCGCCCTACCATGACCCCTCCCCTGCACACCTCCACCACTTTATGAAAGCGTGGTGCACAGCAATAAAGAGAATAATAAATTTTAGATCATAAAACAATAACCAGAGTAAAATAAACATCAAGACATAATGAAAAACGTTATGAAAGAAAAACCTGAAAATCACTTGAAGCATTCTGTGTTTAACCACGGCTCCCTCACCCAGACAGTGTGCTTGATCGGATAGTACATCATGTGAACCAACATTTTGTGACAACAAAGACAACACGTGGGGTTCATGGGTGCACATGCTTCACATGTCTCATCACATGAGACTGACTGTGAAATTGCCTTGGATAATACAAGCCAAACACTGTATCAAGTGTTTGTAATTTCCCATTGGGATAGATAAAGTATTTTTGAATGTTGAATTTGAATATGTAAATGCGCTACAAGGTTTTTTTTTCTGTTTTTTATTTTATTTTATTTTTTAGATATTTCTAATAATTTTTGGAGGATGTTTTGATATTTGTATTGTCTTTTAACAGTTTCTTGTAATTTATGAAAGATGTTCTTCTTCATTATGTCGTATCAGTCTTCCACAACATTACCTCTTGGCAAGAATAAAAGAAAATATTTAAGTGGGTGGGTGTGAAATATACAAAACAATATTTTTGACAATAAAATGGTTCACTGTGAATCCATAAATGAGAGGATATCTTTTACTGGGAGAAGGTTAAAAACATTTTTTTTAAGGCATCTGTGCACATTATTCTTTTTCATTTTTTTTAAACGCAGCATTGTTTTCTCATTGCTTTTCCTACCTTTCTCTTGAATATCCACAATGAAAACGCCACATCTTCACATTTTCGTCACATTGTTTTGTTTTTCTGCGTAGATTGTGGATTGTTCCTGTCAGCCACGTGGTGAGAGCTTTCTTATTGCAGTGACAGCACATCATCTGCTTTGCAAACGGCGTTCCAAAGGGCCACAAACAATACATTACCAGCCAATTGTGGGCATCTTTGGATTGGCGTAATGCCAGCATGGCCAGTCTTCCACATAATATTGGAGGATGATGCCCCCACATTATGGTAATTTATAATTGTTGCAGTGCTGCTTCCAGGGCGCACCCTCCTCATGATGAACTGTCACAATCTCACCGTGGAGGTTTTGGGAACTTGGGGCCTGGGTGTGTTTAGAATGACCAATCACAGGTAGCACTACTGTGGAAACCAAGCTTGGAGATTTGTCTAGACAGGGTGAGAAAGGGAGGCAACCCGTGACGCTGAAGTGCGTCAAACTTGGCAGTCCTGCGTTCTTCAATTATGAGTTGTTTGTGTTTTTGTTTTGTTTTTCTCCACACAGCCCAGTGTGGTGGCTCTATGAAGGATGTCAGTGGGGTGATTCTGAGTCCAGGTTATCCCGGTAACTATCCCAGTGGATTGGACTGCACCTGGAGTGTTAACTTACCTGTTGGCTTTGGTAAGAATCGTCATTCGAGTTGAGAAAAACAGATAAAGCACTGACTTATGCTTGATTGCGTCCCTCCGTTTATGTAAGTGCAATTCATTGACTGATTTCTCACAAACGCCTGTGATTTATTTATTTTCTCTGTCTGTCGTCTCTACTCAGGTATTCATCTCCAGTTTTTAAACTTCTCCACCGAAGCGATCCACGATTACCTAGAGATCCGTAGTGGAACGCTGGAGACGGGTTCTGTGATTGACCGGTTCAGCGGTCCAGTCATTCCTAAGCCCTTGTTCAGCACCACCCACCAAACCACCTTTTTTTTCCACAGCGACTACTCACAAAACAAACCAGGGTTCCACATCACGTATCAAGGTAAATGTTGATGCTGGAAGTTCCTTTCCACTGCTCTGTCTGCAGCAGCGATCGTTTTCAGAGCAGAGACAACAGAGCAGCCGTGGCTTCATTCACCAGGCCTCTTCGAAAACGAAACTCTTAGAGTTAAAAGATGCTATTTTGGGGAAAGAAAATGCTGCAAGAAAATGGTTGCAAGGGTGCAAACAGGTTCTTCATTTTGATCCGTTTCAGAGAGTTTAAAATGTATGCCATCTGGCTTCAGAACGTTATATTTATTATGACAAATCCTTTAGGCAGCCTAAATTTGTTTGACCTAATTCTCTTTATATGAAAATTACAGATGCTAATGAATAAAGCTTTTTATCTGCTGACAGCTCCACCACCAGAGCTTAAAGCAGGAATATAAGTAAAACCTAGTCCTCTTAAAACTTCATGTACTTGTTAAAAAAATATGTACTGTTTACACAGACAACTGTGGCAACCCGGATTTAAAAACTTAACAGAAATACTTAAAAAAGGCTGCCAAATTTAGATGCGGATGGATTAGAAGGATTATTTTTGGAACATTAAAAAAAAAAAATTAAGACCTATTGTGTCGTGCTGCTGCAAAGTGCATGAAAGAGTGCCATTGTTCTTTCATTTAGTGTGTAGCAATTTATGTTTCAGCTTCATTTGGAAAGATTTAAAGACAATGGAGATACATTTCTTTGTCTTTTTTATGGTTCAGTTAGGAGCAACTTTGAAGAGAAAGGGTTTAGATTATTCATTTTTAAGACCCCAATAGACAAAACAACATTTTCAGCTGATTGTTTGCAATCCGAGCTGTAAGCTTTGAATAGGTGCTACCGCGAGCAGAAAAGGTGTGTTCAGTTGTGTTTATTGACGTTTATATTTTCAATAACAGCATCTCACCTCATCTGTTATTCACATGTTACAGCCTTTTCGAGGAAAGAAAGACATGTTATTTTCCTGCTCTTTGTCCAAATAATAGTGTTTTACCAACCATCACGTGTCTCTGCAGCCTACCAGCTTCAGAGCTGTCCTGACCCACGGCCGTTCCGAAACGGCATCGTAATTGGCACAGATTTCAGCGTAGGGATGACGGTGTCTTTTGAATGTCTGCCTGGATATTCTCTGATCGGAGAGGCCTCGCTGACGTGTTTACACGGAATAAGCAGGAACTGGAACCATCCTTTGCCGCGGTGTGAAGGTAATTGACTGCACAGGTCATCTCTGTACCTGTTAGCGTTTTTTTTTTTTTTTTTTCCGTGGTGAACTTTGGGTCGAAGGGTGTAATAAGATTTGCCAGAGGTGAAATTCCTTAGTGTGATGTTGTGAGGGGAATTCACTCACTTTTTCATTTTTCGGCACTGTTCCTCGTCAGAACAGTAGTTTTTACGTCTTCAGATGCACTTTGTCACATTGCAATCATAAACCTTATTCTATGTTGCTGGGATTTTATTTTACAAAGTAGCACATATTTACGAAGTGAAAGGCAAATCATACATTGTTTCCAACTTTTTAAACAAACTATGCCATGCATTGTTTATGAGCCTGCACAACCGCAACCCCAAATTTGTCACCTAAAATCACATGCCACACAAGGAGAACATTCAGGATTATGACATTGCACATAGTGACATTACAAATATGATTGTGATTTAAAAGATTGTGTTGCGTCAAGCTAAGCTGAAATTGGGTTGACATGCCAGCAGGACAAAGACTCTAAACATAAGGCCTGGGCTATAATAAAATGGTTTAGATCAAATATATCCATGAACATATCCAGTTGACATACGTGTAAGTATGAGGTGATATAGTGACAAATTATTTTTAATAAAAGGTGAAAAGACGAAAACATTTTTTTTGAATTTCACACTTTGTTTCTATGCAACGATGTGACTTTAACATAATGAAGGTTTTTCACAAGTTAGAGGTTTAGTTAATAAAAAACTTATTTTATAGTAATAATATAATATATTATGTATAACATTTCAGCTGAACCTATGAGCTACGCAGCTGACAAAATAAATCAGCTCAATAAATAATTAACAAGTGCCGTGATGGATACAGCAATGCTAAACAAATGCTCTCTTACTTATGGAGAAGATTGATTCAGCTTCACTGTGCTGAAACACAAAATAAATAATCAACCGTAACTCTCTCTCTCCCAGCCTTGTGTGGTGGTAACATTACCTCATTAAATGGAACCATTTACTCTCCCGGACACCCGGAAGAATATCCAAACTTCCAGGACTGTGTGTGGAGTGTCAGAGTTCCTCCTGGACATGGGATTTATATCAATTTCACTGTTCTGAGCACAGAACCCATCTATGACTACATCACTGTCTGGTAGGTGCTGTTTTTCTTGTGTATTTTAATTAGACAGTTACTCTTCTTCCTGTGCTTTCATTATTTGCAGCTTTATACACACACACACACACACACACACACACACACACACACACACATATATATATATATATAACTGTTTAGTTTGTAAGAAACTTTCTGTTCATCTCACTGACCTATTGTTTAATTGTTTAAACCTTTTCTGCATGGATATTTTTTCTTTTTAAATGGGTTGCCAAGTGACTATAAGGGTTACTATGACTACAGACATCTTTCCTGAAAAATAAGGGTGCCAAACATAATTCCTCCATGGCCTGAGTTACCTATCTCACAGCCATAAATCTTGACTTCTTTATGTGACACTATCTCTTAGCTCTGTCACTTCTGCATGCGAAACAGTGTCCCATCTTTCTCCTATTGCCTGCCACCCTTTTACTTCTTTCTTAATTATTCTTCTTAAAAGGTGGTTTTATTGGAATCAGAAGACATTTTGTCAATGCAAATGTTTAAATGGTTTTAGGCTAGAGTGCGGGGGGGCATGGCTATCTGCTGATGAAAGGCTGAAGCTGAAACATTGCCGTGTTTGGGGTGTTGCCTTGAAATGCATTCACAATTTTGGTTCCATTAAACTCCGGTGTTGTGAATCAATAGGAAGTTTTCTAAGTCCTGTCTGGGCTTTTCCAAACGGTTTCAAGACGTACTAAAAGTCAGCACTTGGGTCCAACTGTGGAGAAAGCAAAGATTCAAATCATCTGGAAGAAGATGTAATTTTTATAGTTTTGTTAGCATGTTTAAAATCGCCAAAGATTACTTTAAAAAATGTCATACATTTTTTGTGAAGGTTTGCTACTTCCATCCATTTTCTAGTCACGCTTATGGCTATGTTCGGCGAGCAAGAGAGAGGTACACCCTGTACGGGTCGCTAGTCCATGAAAGGCAGTTTATCAATGTAAAGAGAATGAAAGAACAAGACTCCTTTTAATCTTGTTGTTCAGTTGTTTGGAGTGTCAAATATAAGCCCAATGAAAAACTATGCAAAATGATCTAATGCTTATTAGTCTGACATTCAGAAACAGTTTTTGTCCAATGACTGTATTTTTTTCTCAAAAAAAAAAACAAAAAAAAAAAAAAACAAAAACTAAAGAGTTCCAACAATTGACGTGTCACTTAATTTCTAAAATCCATTTAGTAACAAAAAACAGTCTGAGTTTGAAGGCTATTGTTTTTCAGATGCAGACTTTCTCAGTTGCTTCGCTTACTTTGGTTTACTACAAAATCTGTGCTGGCACAACATCCTTCCACTGTTTTTACTGCAAATACAGTACCACCTGAGTCGCCTTGTTTTTAGTGGGTAGATCTTAGTTTGTTTGCTTCATAGGATCCTTAGGTTTAGCTCCGGACCATTTTCTTTCCCGTTTTTCCTCCACACCAAACACCAAAGGACTGCTGGACCGTGAGTCGCCCACCTGCAGAGGATTGTGTGAATTCCATGAATTGGGCGCACAGCATGTTTCTAAAAAAGTAGCCAAATGAGTGAACTGGATGGAAGAAAGGACAGCAACCGCACGAACAGACAGAAAAAAAAAACCCACTCAATCTCAGTCACAGAGACCTAATGTTGGCTCTCTGCAGAGAGCACAGTGTCAACGATAAAGGTGTGATTTTCACAGCGGTCTCCTCAGTCCACCACCAGCTGACCTGACAGTCTCCGAGTCTGCTAATTGGTCTCATACTGGGAGACGTACTACAGGATTTCATTGCGAGATGTGTCAGATACATCAGATGTTAGCAAGAACCAGGCAACCTTTCACTGTACGTGTTATGCGGGTGTACTAATAACTGTTAGGAGCTGAAAACATTGTAGGGAGGCAATGTGGGGAAAACAAACAAACAAACAAAAAAAAAAAAAACTGATATGCCTCGATCAACCTGAGAGTCACTTAACACCTTAAACTCAGTAGAGTTTGTAGTATTGGTAAAATGTAAGTACGTCCTCTTTTTATTCCTGGGCTTTAAAGTTCAACACTCTGCACTGCAGGCTCCATCCTGACTTTTTTTTTTTTTTTTTTTTTTTTAATTAACACAAAAATGTTGCCAAACGAGAAATGTGTGTCTGAAAAAATTGTATACCCATCCTTCTTTTAAAAAAAAAAAAAAGTAGCAGCAATATCTTCAGCTTACTCAAGACTTTGGGGTAACAGGATCAGCAGGGAAACCCAAACATCCCTTTCCCCCAGTGACTCTCTCCAGCTCATTCTGGAGGATCTCAAGGCATCCCCAAGTTAAAAGTAATAAATAGACCTTACAGCAATTTCTGGATTTGCCCATGAGTTTCTTTGGGACAAACAAAACACCAGGAAAAACACCCAATTCCAACTGCGAAGCAACCACTACGGGAACTGGGGCCCTTGTGCTTTCGGTTGACCACAAATTTCCCTGTTTACATTTTCTATTTATGTTTTTCATTCAGATTTGTGGTTATCTGAAGGAGCTATTTCTTGGTCCGTGAAACAGGAGAATGATCCCAAAAATGGCTGCAAATCTTCAACGAAGAGACAAAAAATAAGAAGGTGTTCCAATTGCCAAGTCAAACTACTGGAAATACTCCAGTTGCTCTTCAAGACAGATGTGCTGCAAACCTCATCTTTTCCATTTTGCCAGCAGTTTTGTTTATTAGACATCGACTGTGTGGAACATGTTGTGACTAGATTTCTAACGTTTCAGGACCTGGTAAAGATCAGATGTTTGGTTTTTTTTTGTTAGCTCCAGATACATAAAAGCCTACAATAAAAGGAGGTTGTATTTTTCCTCTGCCACATCTCCATCGTGAAAATGTTTCTTTTTAATCACAGATAGCAAATCTAGTGTTGAGCACAACATAAAGTGACGCTTTCAATAGGTGAAATAAGCTCAGAGTATCGTATGCAAAAGCCAACCCGCCAGCTGATGGAAAACATTATACGAAGGCTAAGCCGTGTAAATCCAAGCCCACACCAGGACTCGCATTTATTATTCTTTTGACCCGACAGCAGTTCAGTCAATACTCCAGTTCAATACAGCAAGAAAAAGCCACAGTTTTTTGAACTGTGTTATCACGACTTGTTCTTTTGCAAGTGAATTGGAAAGTATATAGTCTTTTTTTATTTAATTTTTTTAACCAGTGAGCCTGGAGACATTGCAGTTTGGGATGTTTTGAGAAGGAAGATTGGATCATTTCCAACTGCAATGACTTTGTGGAAAATCACTTTGCCGCAAAATGCCCGTCTATATTTGCAGTCAGTGGAGCGGCTCTGGTTACGTATTATAAATATCGCCAAGTCTGCTTTATGTTTGATTCTAGCCTCGAGATACCCATCTCTTGATCACAAATAGCCATCCGACAGTCATGAATATCTGCAGGAACCCGTCGGCAGACTTTTCCACCCCATTCTTCTGTAACAATATATTAAAAACAGTCATTTTTAAGGCTTTTTTGTGCGTGTGTTTCACTCTTTCTTTTTCTCCGTTTTTTTTTTTTTTTTTTTTTTTTTTTTTTTTTGGGGGATTTTTTTTTTTTTTTCCACCAGGGGGGGCCAACAACAATATCCCC